CGTTGGCTCAGTAATAGAGCCCTCATCAAACGATTATCAAATAATGCCATCACAAATGAAGTGCGCAATGTCACACTGCAGTTTCTTGGGGGAAAAAAGCAAAATAATAGTATTAGTGAGGGAGAATTTATAAGGAGTCTTTAAAATGTCCCAGATGTAGGGGGGGGGGGGCGCAGTGTGGAGGAAAGGTGGGGGCAGAGTGGGGGCAGGGTGGGGGCAGGGGGAATGGGGACTGCAGCTGTGGACCAAAATATGAAGAGCTTGCAACTTGGTCCAAAAATGTTGAGAACAAAATGCTTCCCATATCTAGTTTTTTTTATTATCAGTGTAGATGTTATCCGCGGTGCCGTCACGTGCCCCCCCCCCCCCCCCCCAATTTAAATTGGTGAAAATGCAAATGCAGGTCGAATGCAACCAACTCCTCCCTCTATGGCTGCTCTTTGTAGGGAGGCAGCCATAGTTCTAGAGGTACTCCCCCCCCCCCCCACCCCCCTCTTAACCCCTTCAAATTATCACTGGACTGGCCAGATATGTGTACTCTGTACATGAAATTGACCCAGTGTATTTTAAAACAAAAAGACTTTATTCTTTAAAATATGGGATGGGACCATGAGTCATAGGGTCCTTATACAAACTTTAGAATAATCTCTGAGCGTACTGATATCAGTAACAGGATTATTTGACTGAAATTTGATGCAGCATCCATGTGGAATTATCATGACAGCAAGAAACCATTGAAATTTTCCACTTACCTTACAATTAAACGATATATTCTGCTGCTTAACAGTAACTTCTAGCAATTGTCAGATCATTTGTGTGGACCAAAATGGCATTTTCCATGGGTTTCTATCAAGACAGTGTGCTGCTATACTTGCTAGGTGGGGTTTACATCCAATGCAGATGACACACAGGGATTTCTCATCACTAGCCACACAAAAAGGGAATTTCCCCATGAGTAAAGACCAAAAACATTCCTGTAGCAGTGTATTGCTCCATTGTGTAACCTCTTTGCTCCCACGCAATTGATTGTGTATGTCATGTAAAAGTCCATGTGATTGAATGCAGTGTTATTTAAGTTCACATTTTTAACTTTAAGGTAAGTTAAGGGTAAAAATCCTACAAAGAAATTGGTGTTTTGTGTTGACTTAATCATAGAATGAGTAAATACTGAGCACCTGATATGACAGCTATGTGATCGCTTCTTTAAAGAATAATTAACCCGAATATTCTCAAGTACGGTAGTTCAAAATAAGATGTGGCATGCCTAGTAACCCATACAATTTGAACTTATGAGATCTTATAAGATTAATATTTTAAGATTCTTATAAGTTTCTTACAGGCAACATTAGAATTCTATAAGAATATTTTCAAGTCAGAATGCAGCCTGATAAATTCTTATTAATAGTCTGAATTTCTGAGAATTCTTAAGTTTAGTCTGATTTTTTTTTTTGGGGGGGGGGGGGGGTTGTATATACTATAAGAAAGTTTATTTTCAGGAGTATTGTGTTACACTTGCAGCATGGGCCACAAGTCACATGACCCAGTGACCTTGCATACCACACAGTCAATGCACAGTCAGTGTGGGAAATTTGAAAACTACAGACAGTGCAGTCTATGCATGCAGCACATGTGTGTGGCTTGCAAGTAAGAGGACAAAAATTGTATCAAACTCATTTATGGATATTTGCATGTTCATCCATGCCTGTGGACATAATTCACTGCTCATGCATATAGAGACACTCAAGCTGACAATGACATGCAAAATATGTACTGGACCATTGGCTGATGGGAAGTCTTTGGAATGAACAAGAATGGACTCTAATTAGCAACTAGAACTGCATGCTCAAGCTGTTTGTAGAAGTGGACATGAGCAGAGGTAAGTCTTGAATGATATTATATTAGTACTCAATCATAGACATTGCTTCTGGTCATGCAGATGCTTGTTATTGTTTATGGCAATCGTGCCACTATTTCTTCAAAGTTGCACACTCGTGCTCTACCAAAAAAGAAGTTCTCTGATTTCTTAACAACTTGCTAACAAATAATTTGTTCTCATTGAAATCTCAGTGAACGTGGTGAATGCAAACATTTGCTCGTGTTACATTTTGAGACTGAAAAACCAAGGTCAGTCTGCATGCACAATTGATGCACAAGGTTGCATTTCAGCTGTAGCTGATGCCGAATGTCTAGCAATGTTTTCAAAATTTTCATGTAAATATACTAGTGTTCGTTATTGACAGATTTTTGGCTTTATAGCTAGCTAAATGCAAAACCTATTTTGCAACTGTACACAATTAAGAAAGCAGCAAACAGTTTTTTAATTTTCCAAACATTTTGGCTAGAGCATGGGTAAATCAGGACAAGTTCTTCATCTTATTCGCTCGTGCAAACAGGATCGAAGCTGGGAACGGCTGATCTCAGAGTCTTTGAGTTCTCATTGGATAGATTTTGTATGACCTGTGAGGTAGAATGACACTGGTGACCACTCGCTAAATACATAGCGCGCTAGCTGCATGGGAATGTACTGTAACTTATAAGTTACCCAGAAAGCCATCCAAACTTAAAAACAAGATACAGTGTATTGTGAAGCAGATGAGCCCTTCCCAACGCCCTATTTCAAGGCGGGGGTACAAGCGAAGTTCTTCATCATGTTCATACAGAATTTGTATAAATTAGAATGAGTTCAATTCTTGCTGTTTATGCCGTTCACCTTGTTTATATTGATTGTATGCATTGTGCTTTAGGCTGTCATTCACCAACAGTCAGGTTTTTCATAATAATTTGGTAGTTTTGTTTTTTGATGTTTGCAAATGTTGTAACTTTCCCTTTAACATCCATTCTCGGACAATTATGTGTGCCAAAAGGGCCATTACATCGAACAACTTGCAATCCCATTTGGTGTGGTGTATGTTTACCTGTTTGCCAATATTACATAGATGAATTTCTCACCAGCCACATAGAAGGGAATTTCCCTTGGATAAAAGTACACAATGTAGACCCAAACTGCACTACATTGGACTCTATTCAAGCGGGACGACATGGCCTGCTTCTACAGAATTCACGTACAATGATGCTTTCCGAATATGGACTGTTGTTCCCTTCATATTCCATACTGGCATGACCTCTAAGCATAACTCTATACCTATAGCCTATCCGCATGGGCCTATGCAATACATGCTGTACTTGTTTGGACTTCTTTCCATGTTTGTGGGTACATGTTCTGATACACCGTGCCCTCTGGAGACATGCACACAATCAAGGGCGGATCCAGAACACAATTTTGGGGGGGGGGGCCAACAAAAATTTGGTCCCCCCCAAAAAAGTGGGTCAAAAAAGTTACGGCGTGGGGTTCGGGGCCCGCTTAAGGGCCCCGAAATTTTTTTGGATTCTAGATGCTCTGTGGTGCAATCTGAGGCAATTTCTGACCACTTTAACCAATTTTTTTTGAGGAAAAGATGGTGGTGTACTTTATTGCGATGTCACATAAAAAAAAAAAATTGGTTTCGTTTTGGGGGGGCCATGGCCCCCTTTGGCCCCCCCCCCCTGGATCCGCCCTTGCACACAATAGGGAACAAAAGATTGTATACGTCTCCAAAGGGCAATTTCTATAGATGAATACGTCTCAACAAGATTTACACGAAATGGATTTTACTCAAAAAGTAGGCATTTCCCAGGTGGGTTGAGTTTTAGAAAAGGGATATTAAGTCCGAATTTCAGCCAAGGAAATTAATTCTGGTTAAAATAAGAGCATTTTGAAACTTCACTTTCAAACTCGAAAAGTTTACTACACGAGAACAAAGAAATGTCTCCACAAGAATACACTTTTCAGTATGTGTGTACGTATGTGTGTAGAGAAATTCACTGAACTTCCAACTTTTTTTGGGGGGGGGGGTCGGTTTGGTCCTTTTGGGGGGGGGGGGACAAAAAAAAAACATGTATTGTTATACATGTATGTTAAAGCAAACTCCTTTATTTACAAACTACAAATGTGATATAATCTTTACTCAAACTAAGTTTACAGTGTCATGGCTGTTGTGGCATACATGTATGTCTCAAAAAAGAAAAGAGAACTGGTATAGGTTCCCTGAACTACGGTCCTGAAAAAGAAAACACATAACCCCCAGAGTAGGCATAGATTTACTGTTTAAGCGTGGGGACTAGGGATTTATTTCAGGGAAACTTTCCGCAAAGTCCAGTAAGAAACTTCCTCAGTCTTTGAATATTTACACCAAGACAGCGTCTTATACAAACAAATTTAATTTCATTCTTTATGGATGGAAATTACCACCAAAGGACAATACATGGAGATTTAATGATACTGTTATATTTCGAAAAGCCATCATTTACACGTACTTATAATAAAACATTAAAAAATGACTAAAATGTAATGTATACAGGGTGGTTAAAAAAAAAAAGGACACCCATATTTGACAGCAATTTTCACCTATTTTTAAAAATTATTTTTAACTGTCGATTAGTAGCTCTATTAAAGTACTGGCCTTTAAGCAAATGCCAATTTGAACATTTCATGTGCGAAACCTGTTTGTCCACGGAGATACAATGTATACAGTCGAATCTCGTTAGTACAAACTCTGTTAATACAAAATTCTGGTTATAACAAACATAAAGCCTTGGTCCCGACTGAGCATTTATGTGCACAATGAATAGGACTGATGTTCCTCTTAATACAAAATTCTGATATAACAAACAATCTGGCTAGGTCCGAACGAGTTTGCATTAACGAGACTCGACTGTACATGTACTGTCAACACAAAATGCACCAATGCATGCTTGAACATTATCATTTGAAAAAAACGCGCTAACAATGAAGCCCATCTTAACATTTGAAACGGCATGACATTTGATTGTTATATGTTATGCAACAATGAACTTAAGCCGACAGCTCATTGAGTAGATGATCTTAACACCGACATGAATAATTGGACAGCTTCAATAAAAGTTACCAGGGCAAAATATATTTTCGTGGGAAGGTTTTTAAAAATTTTTATGAACTACGAAAACGTCCAATTTACATTGAATACCCCGTGGACAATACTGATTTTGGTGACTTGTATTCAAATTAGCATATCACTATTTTTGCGACTTTTACTAAGCCTTTTTCACCATGCATGGTTAAAGGCCTATACTTTACTACTATGTGAAAAAAATATTTAAAATAAGTTCATTAAGCAGGTGAAAATTGCAGTCTAAAGTGGGTGTCCTTTTTTTTTAACGACCCTGTACAGTGTACAATGTAAACAAAATTGTAAAAAATCCTTATTGTAAAAAATCTTCACAAAAAAAACAAACTGCAGCCCGTTCTATAATTCTTACACCTAATAAATCACCAAACTAGCTGCAAAATAATTATAATGCACCCTGTCAGTTTATTTGAAATTTATTAAAATAATGACATATCCACAGCATCATATTGTAGCAATTGCTAACGTTGCTAGCATTGTGACTTTGGGCGTGATTGTAATCCCAGGCTTAGTGTCAGATACCAGTTGATGGCTTCTGACTTTAATACGCCCCTTAAACAAAGACATTGACAAAATGGAGAACCACCAACATGGGGTTGGACAGCTCAGTTGGTAGAGTACCGGAACGGTTATCTAGAGGTCGCAGGTTCAAACCCCGCTCCAGTCAATTTCTTCGTTCAACCGGGAAAAAAATTATTTTATAAATGCACCGAGTCAGTTTCCCTTTGTGGTTTATTTGATAAAAAGCTGATAAAAATTGAAGGAGTAAATCTTACCAATAAATTATTAAGCATAAAAAGCCATACAAGTGTATTACACGTATCTCACCGGGAAAAAATTGCACATTTATAATGAAACATTTTGTAAATATAATGAACGTTCAAGGCATGCAGGAACTTTTGCAATTACAAAGTACCCAAAAACGTACCTACCAATTTAGTGGGAAACAACAAATACCCTGTGAAAGTAATCTGAAATTAGTCTGCCTGAAATGGCATCCTTTAAAAGAAATCAATCATTTCTAAAAAGATGTTCCATTTTCACATGTGCACACCTTCTTCAAAACTCGCCAAAAAAAATTTGATCTAGCACAACTAATATACATTGTAGTTCTTATTGCTTAAAACTAACAGAACATGTAGTAACACTAACTTTACAATAAAATGGTGCAGTGCTACTCTATCAAACTGTGTCACACAAAAAAAAGAAGTTAAAACAGAACACATATTACAGTGCATACACAAGATAAATGAATGTCAATGAAATTTCCTAGCAGTGTTGAAGTCGAATCCATGACAAGTCCTTTTACAAGTCTAATCGCATGTGCATGTAACAGTGGATGAACAATGGCTAAGAAGTGCCTCTGAAACTTTCATTTGAAAAGCTTGTGACTTGACTTAGTCTGAAGTGAAGAGGACTTGTGAAGTTGTTATCACCTTGTGAGAACTTGTGCAGGACTTTGTAAGGATACTACAGACTTGACTACAACACAGCTGTCCAGACAGTTTGTTTTTTGAGGTACAGTATTTAACTCTAACTCCCTAGGCTTTTTTGCTAGGATGCAACCTCAATCCTGCAAAGTCCTCCAACTGCCTCCATGTAAAACTTGCATACAACCTCAAGCCTCCAAAATCATCAATTATTTCTTGGATGTGGTCCTTGGAGGGGTGACCACTGCCTCAATCCTGCAAACTCCTCCAGCAATCACTGCCAATATGTTGAGGCAGGGCCAGTGACATCCTGGAGCAGTGCGCAATAAAGAAAAGCCATACCCGAGCTGTAAATGTAAAACTGAAGGAAAATTGCACCTATCTGTCACAACTTTTATCACGACCCGAGACTTGAATGCCAACTCTGACCCACAATCTGTTCGGGTTTGAATTGCAGCGCAGGGTCGTGGCGGGCACGTAGATGGCGATCTGCTTGCCTATATCCCCAGTGTCCACACACGTGAAGGGCGCATTAAACGACTGCACTTTCGGGTCAGACTTGCTGGACACAATGGCCACTCGGTACGACCTCCCAATGTCCTCAAAATTTGGTTTGAGCATGAAGCGGACACTCCACTCCTCCCCTGATGATTCCTTGACGGCCAGGCCACCGATCTCCCATGTCTCCTTGCTGACCAGGTAGATGTTCTTGTTTTCACTCTGGCGAGCCACTGGACACGACAATTTGCAACGATCAAATTCTGCCTTGCTGTCCTCCACACACAGCTCTAGCTGTCTGAAGGTAGACCCGTCGTCGATGCGCCACTCGGTGTTGGTTATACGCACGCAGAATGCCGGCTCCAGGTACATGCGAGGATTTGAGAATTCCTTGCACATGTCTTCGTAGGCCTCCTCTCCAGCAAGTGCCCTTGTCTTCAGCGCCTGGATGACATACTCCTTGACCTTGGGTTCAAGAGTTGCAGAGCAGCCATCGAGCAAGTGGGCTAAAACGGACGCCGGGATGTGCTCAAAACGGACCAAGGACAGCAACTGGTCGGTGTACTCCTCCCGCTCTACTTTGCAGCTCTCCGTACGCAGCCAACGCCGGATGGCACCGAAGACGAAGAGCTCGTTAGGAACAACAAGGTTGGAGCTCTGCAGCACCTTCTCGAGAAGCTCCGCGTCAAACCAGTACAAGGTGGGCACTGCGTCGTCATCAGTGGTCCACATGTGGAAGTGGTTTTCCAGCAGGCTGAAGCTCTTCTGCTCGACCCTGCTCAGGTCCTCTGCCAACTTCAACGATTTCATGGCATCCACAAAGGGCGCGGTAGAGGTCTCCAGTAAAGCCAACAGATACTTCTCACACACGTCCTTCAGGTCACGCACCATATACTTATCAGCCAGAATCAAGATGCAAAAGACGCTGTCCTCATCCAAATTCACCTCCTCAGTGTAGAAGAACCGCAGGAAATCCTCAAAATACTCCTCGCAGGCTTCATGCTCATTCAGCGTGTGCACCTGGGGCTCATCATTAGGGGAGCTCGACGACCATCTGTCGTTCATCTGGGCCCGGAACACTTCACTCCATGCACAGAGGATGAGCTTGTGGGCGTGGAAGAGGTACGGGCCCACCTTTAGGGTGACGTCACTCAAGCGAGTGTTGTTGAAGAGAGCCGAGACACAATCGTTGAGAAACAGGGGCGTCATTTTCTGTTGCATTTTCCGCTTCCGAAGCTCAGTCATCTTTTTGCCATCAGCCTGCAGGTCAAGCAAATGTAACAATGATCGTTCCGATTTCATTTGTGTAATTTCATTGAATGACAACTGTTCATTTTTTTTTTTTTTTAGGTTCACTGTTATGGCATAAAACTGGCTAAGAAAGGGATGCTTCTTATTTTGCGATTACCACTAGGCACGCCGTAACTTGCGACGTGTTTCGAGCCATTGTCAAGGACCTTACGACGCAAGTGCGACGTGTTACACGTTGTAACTCAGGTTGCGACACGTCGCAGCCCTTCGTGAAATCAGGTGATGGAGTACATGTGGGTGGTATCAAATTGGCCCAAGAACCACGCATAAACTTCAGAAGTACTGGACTTCCGAATTAAAATGTGCAGAGCTGACCAACTGTTCAACAATCCTGCCATTCCCCAATCAACGTTGTCATTCTTTCCTTGTAAAACATGAAATAGTTTAATAACAAAAACAAACTGCACTCTCAACTTCATTTGGCCTTGCCTTCTCCTGTGAGCTTACCACTCTTTTCTTCACGGCTAACAACTCGGCAAATCTTGTCTTGTTCTGTGTTCTGTTGCTGGTTGCCCCTCTCTGCATCAACTCACGCAACTGCTCTTCTTCTAGTGGTTCGTCATCGTCTGAATGATCGGCGACTTCATCGCCATTGCCTGTATCAGTTGGGGTGAGGGGTTGGGGGGGGGAAGCATTGCGATTTAATGGGTGGATGATTACTGGGATGACCCCAAACCTTCACAGATCCTTCAAAAGTGGTTTTGAGGATTTTTTTTTGATGATGGTGAAGGCAAATCTTCCACAATACTCTTTGCAAAATGGAGGATTTTGTAAGATTGAGGCTAAATGGAAAAAAATGAGTGGCTGATTTTGGAGGATGCACTGTGTCAAGGTCTTGGGCCGGACCTTGTGTTGTTTATGCTCAGCCGTGCCTAAATTTGGGCCTAGATTATACTTGAAATCCTCCGCACTGCTCCAGGAAGTCACTGGCTCTGCCTCAACATATTGACAGTGATTGCTGGAGGCTTTTGCAGGATTGAGGCAATGGCCACCCCTCCAAGGACCACATTCAAGAAAACTTACCCTGTACCATCCTTCTGCGCAGTCTCCGCATGACACGTATCATTGCTGGTTGGTTAAGAGGAGGCTGTTGTTGATTGGCGGGATTCATCTTGATTGGACTGCACGACGCACGCTGATGCAATGAAGATACTACAGGTTTATCTGTGGTGTGAGAATGATACAAACTTAAAATTACTGGCTACTGGATGCCTTTGAAAAATTCGGGGAAAGGGGGGGGGGTGACCCAAGGGAAACGAAGGAACTTGGCAAAATGGGAGGAATGGGGAAACAGGGGTGGGGCATGGGGAATTGGGGGCCAGGCCTCCCCATTCGGCCCCCCCCCCCTCCCATCTTTCGAGTTGGAATTTGAAATTATTGCCACACATGTGAATATATATTGATAATATATAGACTAGTTCCACCTTGTACAGGGGTGTGTTTTCACGACCGTGACCAGAAACATGTTTCGGCTTTGGTCACTGGTTGGGCGTTTTCATGATTTTGGTTGGCATGGAGTGACGTCACTGATAAATACAATGTACACGACATTTAACAAACAATGTTGGGAAAAATAAGCTTGTAAGGCCCCCCCCCCCAAAAAAAAATCAAAGAAAATTTCCCGTATTAAACTTTTTAATAAATGCAAAATGTAAATTTTTTTCTTTTCTAATTCTTAAGGCACCATGGTTTGGATATTTTGTATGCTTCAACTTTTGTGTGAACAAAAGTTTCCATCTTCTTTTGATTTATAATTAGATGAAAAATTGCAAAAGGCGGATTCGGTTACAACGTTCCCTACTTCTGAAATCAGAAGGCTTCCTCCGTCTGCGGAGGAAGCCTTCTTATTTCAGAAGTAAACGTTCCCCATAGACTTGTGTGTATTCATCTGCTTTATCTCTCGAAACTGGTCGGCAAGCAGATATATTGCGCATGCGCGATTGGAATTGTGAATGGGCTTGTTTTAAATGTTAGGCCTCCTTTTTACAGTTGATCTTGAAGTTGAACATGATCGAAGAACACCAAAATACAATTCCAACATGAGGAGTATTTCTTGCCAATCTTGGGTACTCCTAGAACTATGAGGCTCCACGTAGTGGAGCCTCATAGAGTCAGAAGCCCCCAAAATTGTTGTCAACACAAAACACTAATTAAGTACAAAAACGTCCATTCCAAATAAGATATTTCCCACAGAACCGCTGCACAGTTTGCCCCTAAACTCCGTACAATACCTCATGACATACTCACGTTATGTGCACCCAACAAACATCGGCGGATTCTGTCTTTTTTTAGGCCAAAATGATGAAAAATATGCCCTTTCCGCACTGAGCCAACCTAACACTTGAAGCGAGCACGCGCGCTGATATCGCAGTCATTTTCGGGTTCGATCGCTCGGAGCGCGCCGCGGGGGGTATGGTGTAGGGGAGCGGATTGATAGTATGCGCATACAAGTGCAAGTACGTACCCCCGCGGCGCGCTCCAAGCGATCGAACCCGAAAATGACTGCGATATCAGCGCGCGTGCTCGCTTCAAGTGTTAGGTTGGCTCAGTGCGGAAAGGGCATATTTTTCATCATTTTGGCCTAAAAACAGACAGAATCCATCGATGTTTGTTGGGTGCACATAACGTGAGTATGTCATGAGGTATTGTACGGAGTTTAGGGGCAAACTATGCAGCGGTTCTGTGGGAAAAAGCTTATTTGGGATGGACGTTTTTGTACTTAATTAGTGTTTTGTGTTGACAACAATTTTGCGGGCTTCTGACTCTATGAGGCTCCACTACCCATAGTTCTAGGAGTAAATCTTGGGCATGTTGGGCCTCGGTTACGGTTGGAAATCACTCTGCCAAAAGCGGGAGTAATTGCAGAAGAAGGTAAACCTGATCAACCCAATGTAAAATGGCATAGGCGGGTTGGAAATTTGGCGGGTCGCGCAAGGAAACTCGCCGCGGCCGCCCGGCCCAATTACTGTTTTTGCGCGCCCCACGCACGAATGCGGTTGTCGGCCTTGTTCATTTTTATTTTAGATTATAAAATCCGTTATTTTACCTTACCATGAAACAACTTTGTATTGCAAGTTGGCTGAAACATTCATTCAGAAAACAAAGATCAATCGATCGGATACTCCATCCATTTATAGAGGCAAAAAAATTGTGCTTTTTTCTTGGTTTTCCCCAAGCGAAACGTGCAGTAAACTGGTAAACACCAGATCGGATCGTACGGCGGGAAATACACATGGTACTCAGACGCATCAGTGTGTTTTCAATGGAAGACGTTGGTACAGAGAGGGGCCCGACTAAAACAAATAACTGGCGATTATAGAAAGTGCGTTACGTAATACGCGTGTGAGGGAGATACCCCATAAAAAAATTGCCGGGTTCCAAAACCCCCCAACTTTTTCAACATATTTTGTATGTGTTATTTGGAGCACATTAAAAGGAGTCCGAGGGCATTTATTTATTTTGAGCAAATAATGAATTTATTTAACAATCTTGAATTGAACAAAAATAATGTCTTATATGCCTTCAGTGCTCCTTTCAAAAAGAAATGTGCACCCGGGTCCCCAACCCCGCAAATTCACCCCCGAGTTATGCTACTGCATGCCCAGACCACACACATTTCTATTCAATTGATTCAAAGTTGCTATTCACAGGAAATCTTTTCATGCATCTGGCCCACACAATTCACAATGGGCAGTGTTTATCCCATTCATTGGCGTTACAGGACCCTGATCCATAGAGCTACGTCCTAGCTCTATGCCATAACACTGCTTGGATTACAAGTATTAAACAGTCTGTCAGTCAAGTCAGTGAGATCTGAAATAGTTAAGGTTAAAAACTGTATTTTTTCTTCCGGGTCACTGCAAAAACAAACAAACCACAGTCAACAGAACAATCAAATTAACAGATATTAAAAACAAAATTTCCAGTGTACTTTATTTCACAAAAGGTTTACAAGGGGAACATTACAGATTTCCATATGATGTCAACAATAATATTCTAACCCACATTTACTCTAATTTTCACAAGTTCAAACTATAAAACCTACACAATGTATGCATATCTCGGTGGGGAGAGGGTCTCTTACATGTACATGTCAGATTTTGAAACAAGCGCCCCTTGACTCCCCATTCCCCAAGGAAATGGGAGTATTGATACTTAAGCATAGAGTAGATCATTTGCAGCTATCCAAAAAGTAACTGAAGAAAATATTATTGAAAAGCTTACTTGGTTTAAAGATAGTAATGGCAATAAACTCCCTGTGAAATTACTCTTTCTAAAATGCTGTCATTTTGAAGAAAACAATGAAATAAGGTAATTTCCAGTGTGTGAAGCCACGCATTTTTGGAAATTTACGTTAGTAGTTGGTTTGTAATTCAGCGAATCCGTGAATGGGTGGTGCATGCACAGAAGCGTTGACATGACACGCACGCACGGTTGCTATTATTCATTGGTATTCGTAACATGGAATAGCTGCAATGATGAGAACGTGTCCTGGATGCTGATTTTGGGCGCAATTCAAAACACGACTCTTCAATTCAAATCAAGATCCTAGAATTTTATTTTCTCTGGGTGTATACTATAGCATTCACTGAGCTATTTTCATCAGGTTAGTTGTTAAGCAATCCATCTTTAGATTTTAAGCAATTTTCTTGCTTCAAATTAAAAAAATTGCACAAAATGACAAATGATCTACCCTACTTTTTATGGACTACATGTACTGTAAATAGAAAGCTTTTGGAAAAAAATACATGCACAAGCATGAAGACACAACATCATTAAAACTGGGTACATCTGAATTAAAATTGTCAAGGATGACGCTCAACTTAATTTACAACAAAGCATTCACCTAGTCCTAACACACAAAAAAACCTCTGCTATTCTTTCCTGGTAAAAAAATAATACAGTGTAGTAATAACAATTTCTGAACAAACGAACAGAAAATCTGTGAAAAACAATGTCGTCTATTTAAACCAATAGACGTGAGACCTAATGACGTAATGGCTTCGTTTACATAAGCGGTTTCCTATGGGAGCGAAGTCGGGACGCCAGACGAAGTATGGACAGTCTACCACATAGGAAAGCGCACATGTAAACAAAGCGCAATGTAGTTAGGACTTCGGCCTACTGGCCTTTTCATTATTTTGCAAACCCATTGTGTAACACTTAAAGGAAAGTGTACATGATGTAGAAAAACAAAGAAAGTGGAAAAGTGGTGGTTGTATATTTGGGCCTACTTAATCCCAAGCATTTTGACAAGAACCCTTCCCTTATCCAGCCAAATTCAACACATTGCACAAAAACAAGTAGTACATTCCATTATGATGCAACTTTCTTTTGTACTTCATATTGGACACTGATCAGATTCAAACTTTCGTCTAGATTTTTCCAAACTTACCAAGATTTTCACTATCCCATGTCCATTTGTGAGTCATCACAGTGTATCAGAGTTTTCTGGTCGAGAAAATCTAGACCAAAAATAATACATGTAGTAGAAATCTTAAATCTAGAATGAATGGATGGTTGTGTTATTAATTGATAAACACAACCTCACGAGAATATATGTAGTCCGGTTTTTCTTCCAGGATGTAGGGCCCAATTAGGACGATGCCATCAGCCGTGGCGCGCTTAGTACCCTTTTCGACAGTTCCACTGTGGGTGATAATGATGGGATTCGTTGTGTCTTCCTTGGACTTGATGTACAAGACAATGCGGTATTCCTTGCCAATGTGATCCCATTTGGGAGTTAACAGGACCTGCACGCGCCACAACTTCCCCACGTTTTCTTGTCTGCTCATGATGTTAACCTCCCACGTTTCGTCCGCGGCATTGCGGTGCACGTTCCTGTTCTGTGGATTGCTGCGCCACACTTGAGCCCGACGATCCGAGTAGTTGCTCAGGGTGTGGTTGACCCGGGCCCGCGTGAAGATGTCCTTCTTGGCCTCCTTGATGCTGGACAGCCTCCCGCCGGGAGGCACGAACTTCAAGTACAGGCGCGGCGGGACGAACTGAATCTCGGACACCTCTGAGAAGTCCACCTCTTCTGAGGCCAGAGCCCTGACTTGGAGGGCCTCGGTGACGATCTCAGGACGCTTCTGGGAAATCTGCTGGCCGAGTCTGGACTTGCTGAACTGCTGGAGCTGCCAGATGGTCATGTTGGAGAAGCGAATGTGAGGCAGGATCACCTCTAGAGTGGCCCACAGATTCTCATCGGTGACCTGCTTCGATTTGATCCAGGCTTCAATCTGAAACACATGATAAGAAAACAAGCCGTGAGACACTACAGCATTTTCTGAGCTATATTCCAACAATTTATCCCCTTTTTGAATCGGGGAAACCTTGAGGAGTAGAGAGGACAACACAGATACACTTGTCTGTTTTCTCTGAAACTTCATTGGAATCATTAGATATTCTTTGGCTGTTAATTCCAAAGATTTGATAACTAGAAACTTCGAGAATAAATGTGCACAATGCTATTATGCGATCACTTTCAGTGAAACAAAAGTTTCATACCTTCAGAAACAGACAATACTCATCCTCTACGACAACCTCAGAGCTCTCGATGATAGAGACCAGCTGGTCCAACCGCAACGCCTGCCAGGCGACGTCAGGGATGTACTGGACGTAGGACCGCAGGACTTTGAGGCAACTCTCCTTCAGGAACCCCAGGTCCTTGGCTTCAGCTTCCCCGAGCCACTCCAGGGCACTGTCGATGTTGTGCTGGCCGATATCTTTGCCAATGAACCGCTCGCACATCTCCTGCAGTGGCTTGATCTTGTAGCCCTGAGCAAGACTCAGGACCACCTTGACCGTTCCCTGGGTGGGTTCTGCCTTGCCGGAGTACAGGAACTTAAGGAACTGCTGGAAGGCAGCATCAGTGTCCTCCGCACTGCCGCTGTTGCTTCCCGATGTCGGAGCAAAGCCATCCTCGTCGAGGTCCAATAAAAAGGGTTGGCCTGGCTCGCCCCCAGCAGTGCCCATCCGTGGAGCCTTAGCGAGCTTGTCCTCAAAGATCCCACTCCACGCCCCTAGGATTAGCCTGTGGGATCTGTACTGCTTCCCAGCAAAACGAAGCGCGACGTCGGAGAGTTCCGGCTGGTTCATGAACTTCTGAATATGGTGGCTGAGTGCTCCCAGCTTCCTGCATGATTTTTGACTGGGTTCACAGTCTTCATCATCACTCTAAAAGTAAAAAAAAAATGCAAACATAAAATACCTTTTTAGTAGTAAAACATGTCAGTACCTAGCTCTAGTGACTGGAGCACTAGAACTGTGTCGCCCTTCGAACCAATTTAAAGATTGTAAGCTCAACTCTGCGGCCTTTTTCGTTTGACTCACTTTTGGCGCCTTGATGATGACCTCCTGGTGCCACTCCATTTCGGTTCCAGAACTCATTGTAACTCTGCCGGGAAAATTAAAAAGAAAATAATTCACTCTCTCACAATGGGACAACACAATCTCGACAAAGTCGTTGAACGTTTCGCGTTGAAAAAAAAAAAAAACTTTTAAAATAATTTTAACTTTAATTTATATGCTGAAGGTGTTCTCTGTTGCTATTTCTACCATTTAAAGCCATTTTTGAAATTCCAAAACTTAAACAAATTTGTTGACGATGGGTTGACGACCGTTGACGCTTCTTGACGCTTGTTGCCGCATTTTTAGTAGGAGTAGACCGCCACAAAGAGTGCCCGTTGATGTTTGGGCATTTGCGTCTGTCGCGTTGCGGGTAAATAGCCGCATAATCTATGGCAGGACCATGCGCGGGACCCAACTAAGCGCGGTTCATGGCTGTGGCGACGCGGTGTGCACAACGCGGCGGGCGGCCGCCCGCACGTACGTCGCACATCGCTACACCGGCATGACCGGCGACGCGGGTCACGTGCAAGTTTGCACGGGGGAACCATCTAGTAGGGCCTACTCCAGTCATGGAGGCCTTATTTACCACTTTTACAATAATCTGACGACTAGATCTTGACTGCAATATGGTTGGCCTTAAACTACGCAGTAAAAAACTAGATTTCCTACTGTTATGTATTTACTTACAATCGTAAATTTCAACAAACCAAACAACATCAACACGCATTTTCGGCAAGAGCGAAGCGGGGAATTTTTTGAGCACGCAATTACTTGTAACAGCGCCACCAATCGACATATGACAGCTAGGTTAAAGTATGGAAAGCCATACAATACATTAAAGTGCAATGTAAGTATTTGCAGGAAATGGTAGGGCGAATCGGCCAGGATCCTCAGTTTCAACTGGAAAAATAACCGTTCAAGTGATACATCTGTCACCATTGTTAATTGTTTGATCCTGTTACGCATTTAAGCTGGGCGAAACAATGGTCTTTATGAAATATTCTGTACACAAATTGAATTTTAACACGATCAAACATTTTTACAGTTTGGCTTTCTATAGCCCTACAGCGCTCGACCGCGCTCCATATAGTGCATGTAGTATAAAGTTGCAGGTTGCATGTGCACGTCAGATTTCCCCACGCAGCACAGTCACCCGGCCGGACGAGTGCAGATAGTTGAAGAATTTCTGTAGAAAAGCGCAGTAAGTGAATTCATTTTAGCCAATATTTCAAAAAGGTAATTCTACCTCTGTAGGCCTATATCCTCAAAGCCTGCAAGGGATGTTTTTTATTCAGTTATTGCCGGTATGCCGTTGCCTTACGCCGTATCGCCGCACTGGCGCCTTGCATTGCTCATTGCGAATTGCGGGGGTTTTCCCAATCTGTCGGCACAAGTACAGTCTAGTTATTTGGACACGATGCAGAGAGAACGAAGCCTCATGATGTTGTTTTTTACACCAATACTCAATTATCATTCACTGCAGATACGTTGGGGACAAAAATGAATATGAATTGAGACGAGAGTGAGAATCATTCCCATTTAATTGGGGAAAAAATAGTTTACTCACTAGTTTTACTAAATAATAGTAATACTCAGGAGGGAAAGATTCCCATTATCTGGCCATCACTTGTCACCCTGTGCACAAATCCTATGAGACTGGTCTGAAAATTTCTAAGTGTTTTCTCAGTAAATACTTCAATATTTTCCCATCTAATTTTGACTTTCAAGGACATATTACAACTTTTTGATGGTTGAAAAGGGAAAAATTAGTCATGGCCAGATATGGGAATCTTTCCCTCAGGACATGCAGGAGAAATTGTGGAAATAATGTAGTAGACGCCACATCAGCGGTTGTGCACAAAGTCTGTGGAGAGTCAAGATAATTTTTTAAGTATTTCCCAACGAAATTGAAAATGTTTCACAGTCCCAGATTCATGTCTTTTCAACATTTTTGCAATGACTGGCCTTTATTTGTATGATAATATGAATACAAACGTGGCATCAGGTTGCAACATTCTTTCCAGAAATTCTTCATGACTCAACATGAGATTAATACTAATAATAGTAATACTAATTTAAAGATAAATAAATAAATGAACCTATGCAAAAGTTTAAAATATATTGTGGAAATGAAGTTTTAAAGTTTTTAAGATTAAGTTTTTAAGTATACTTATTGTTTGAAACTTGTTAAAAAAAACTTTAAAAAGTTAAAGGGGTCATGCAATGTATTTTTTTTTAACCCTAACTGCCCTGTATCCTTCAAAATCCTCTTTGCCAACGTGGAGGAATTTGGAGTACGATTGAGGTTACATGGCAAAAGTGCGTTGCTGATTTCACAGGATTCACTTTGTCAAGGTCTTGGGCCAGACCTTGTGTTGTTTTTGTTCAGCCATGCATAAATATAGGCCTGGATTATGCTTGAAATCCTCCGTACTGCTCCAGGATGTCACTGGCCAAGCCTCAACATATTGACAGTCACTGCCGCAGGATTTTTCAGGATTCAGGCAGTGGTCACCCTTCCACAGACCATATTCAAGAAATAATGGAGGAATTTGCAGTATTGGGGCTATATCCCAGCTAAAAAGGCCTAGGGAGTTAGGGTTAATTAATGCAGTTCTTGAAAATGCACCTTTGTGTCCCATGTAACCTTATTTCAATTTTTATTGTGCCATTTTCAAGGGTGTTTTGGTGTCTTTTTGCTTTTTTGCCAATGTAAATTTCCATATTCATGAGCAGAAGTGTGATGTCATTGCAGGCACAAACCTCAGTGTGCAGTTATTTCAGTGCCAAAAGTTGCCAGAATTTTGAAAATTTGCTGTCGTAAATGTTTTTTCTTTGGTAATTCGTTTTTGTGTCAGTACACGCAGTGGTCGATTTCGAACTTTGGCTTTTTAAACTTTGGCTCTGTGCATGTACAATTTTGCCTGTGCATGTAAACACTTTTGTTTTTCAGCCCATTTTCAAGGAAAACTCTCAGTTGTGCGTGTAACTTTTATTTTCTAAAGCCCAAACTTTTCTCACTGATGTTTTGAATGAACACATTTTTGGGTTTGCAATTTGAAAAGAAAACCCCAAAATTGAACAGTGTCCCCCTGAAATGACATTCTAGCATCAGTGCCGTCAATTGTCTGGAAAAGCATGGACAATTCTTCATGCTTAAAGAAGTGCACTTTTCAAGAAAATTAACCAAAAAAGGATGTCAGATAGCTTTCAAACACTTAAGAGGAGTAGAAAGTTGTACAAAACAAGTTCCTAAGAAAAATGATTTACCGTTTACCTTATGAATTTGAATAACGACAGTTGTTGGGTTTTTTTTCAGGAGCAGCGCATCAGATTGCAACCATGATGTTTGACGACTATGATGATTATGTTGACGATGATGATGATGAGTACTTGTACGAAGCTGGCTCGGACGATGACGATTATTTCATGAACCGAGAGGGCGCCATCCTATACGACTGCTACGACGATGCCTTTGATCGTATGCAAGTCATGGTGGTTCCCGGATCGTCTTCTCGGGATATCCTAAAAATGGAAGGATCCCAAAAGGACGAAGCCAAGGTATGTCATTGTCACAGTGATGCTAGTGGTGACAAAAATCAAAGTAATGATGTCACAGGTTTTAAATGACAGTGACAAAACAATGACAAAAAAGATAGTGTTGACATTATGATGACAAAACAATAATAGCATGTGGGATGATTGGGGTAAGATCATACACGACACAATTTTTGTGGTGACGAGTTGAAGGGGACTTTCAATTTGTGTCAAAGATTATGCAGTTTATTCTCTTTCAATTTGTACACAGAATGAGCTTTCCAAGAACAAGGGCCTCGTTGCAGATAACCTCACTGGTTTCCTCAACAGTCCGAAATACAGCGATGTGACACTGCAAGTTGGCTCGCATCAATTCCACGCTCACAAAATCATACTCTGCTCCTGGAGCGAGGTGTTCCACAAGATGTTCACAGATCCGACCTGGACAAGCGCTCGGACGGGCGAATCCAACGGCCCTGGCCCGCAACTCCAGGTGCTGGTAGAGCCCGAAGATTGCGTGGACGTCTTCCAAGTCTTTCTCAAGTTCATGTACTCTGAAACGGTGGCCTTGACCATGGCCAGCGTTTTCCCCGTCCTCACCCTGGCCGATAAATACCTGGTCCAGGAGCTGCGTGATGCCTGCGAAGACTTCCTGCTGGAAAAGGTCTCTGGTATCAGTGGCGAGGAAGCCACAAGAGCCCACGCCGAAGCAGAGAGACTCAATCTAACAAGGGTACAGGAGCAGTGCATCAGGATTCTTGAAGCCAACATCAATTACCTGAGTGAGAGTTGTGTCCAGAGCATGCCAGCCGAGCTGCTCCTGAGGCTGCTTGATAGCTCCAATCTTGTAGTCGACAACGAAAAAGATGTCTACAATGTAGCGCTGCAGTGGCTGAATGCAGAGGGGCAACAGGCGGCACGGAAGGAGCACGCGGAGGAGATTTTCTCTCTGATCCGCTTCCCGCACATACCTTCTGCCAAACTGAAGGACCTTGTAGACACGCCATTGCCGACGTTTCTTCAGCCCGATTTCCAGGCCAAAGTTACAGAATTGGTTGCGAAGGCTTTTGAATGGCGAGCCCTGGCGGCAGAAGAGGCCTACACCGTAATGGAGGATGACTTCATTCAGCCGCGCCTGTATCAGAACCAAGCCTTCTCCCTGCAATCGACCACCAGCTTCATGAACAAGGTTGTGTCGGAAACCTTTCGCAAGCTGATCCTGTCCATGGAAGAGCAAGATGATTACTACCACAACAAGCTGAGCTTTCGGGTCGCCAGCCGGGCCGAGAAGAACGTCTACAAGTACGGCAAAGGCGCGTGGGAGGTCAGCGCGGTTCCCGTCAAGGACGCGAGCTCCGACCGCTGGGGTCTCAGCTACAACATCCAGACGAGTCAAAACATCGGTTATCCGTACCGCGTTGCCATAGTGACTCGACTGACGGAGGAGGAAGAAGTGGATGTGAATCCTGTCATCACGGTGCATCATGGGAATATTGAGGGAAAGTTCACCCTCAAGGTTCCAGCACCCCTTCTGAATCTTAGCGAGAAGCCCAGCAAAGTCTGGACCAGAGTTGTGGCCTTCATGGAATCCAAGAGTGGTGCCTCAATACCAGAATCCAAGATGGTACCAATGGCGGTATATCCCAATATAGCACAAAGGGCGTTATATTTGCCTGATGTCTAAAAGAAAAGTACAGACTGTACTCCGCCGAGCACTTGTTGCCAAATCCTCCCATTGTTTAATTTCTTTGCAGTAGTTCCAAAAAAGTCACTTATAGAACGAATGTTTAAGTCTCTTTGGGGTCATACTTTTAAAGAATCAGAGCATTAAAAACAGTGTCCCAATATTGGCACCAGACAGTGCATAATAATTTGGCATAAATATGATCATTTAAGATTTAAGACCATACCCCATACTGCAGCGTTTGATCCCAAAGCTATTGAATGCTTCAAAGTCAGAGTCAGAGGGCCCAATTTCATAGTGCTGCTTAAAGCTACAGTCCATCATTTGCAGCTATCCAAAAAGTTACTAACGTAATTATTGTTGAAAAACATACTTGATTGAAAGATAGTAAGGGAACTAAACTCCCTGTGCAATTATTCTTTCTGGAACGCTGTCATTTTGAAGGAATCAACGAAAGAAGGCTTTTCCAACGATTCCGTTAGTAGTTCGTTTTTTTTATTCGGCAAAGTGCGGGCAAGCGTTGACACAACGCACAAGTGCGCATTGTTGCTATAATTCATTGGATTAGTGCACGACATCGCGTAGCTGCAATCGGCTCAGTGAGAACGTGTCTTGGACGCTGAATTCAGGCCCAATTCAAAATATGATCCATCAACTTTTGATTTGAAATGGAGATCCTAGAATGTTGTTTTACTCAAAATACATGTATACAGCTGAAGCTGAGCAGAACTTCATCAGGTTAGTTGTTCAGCACCCTTCTTTAGATTTTGATCACTTTTGTTGCTTCAAACGAACAAAATACACAAAATACAAATTTATGATGGATGGACTGTACCTTTAACAGTTAGCAGAAAAGTTGTGCTTGCTATAGCAGAAAATCCTGCTGAGCTTAACCAGTTCGTGCTGGGATTATTTTGACAAGAACAGAACGCTGCGTGTTTAGCCGTCATCCATTCCGAGTACCGCAATACCTTTGCGTGTATACACGTCATCCAGCGCAAACTGGTTAAGTACATGTACTGTTTCATGGCGTGGATGTGCTAAGGGTTGCGCGTGCATGGGGATTTCTATTACGTCAGTGATTTTAAACAGCTTTTTCCTTCGGGATTAAGCATGCCTTTGCTGCGCTTACTGCTTAGTCCTTATGAAATAGACAGAGGCTCTGTTAGAACAAAATAGGATGTTAAGCAGCGCTATGAAATTCGGCCCTGAGTTTCATCATTGGTTTTAAAATTTTGCTTGCTTGTAGCAGCTCATAGTCAAGATCAAACTTTTTTTGTCTTTATTCAAGATGTGTGCTCATTCCATTTCACGATTTATTAGGAAATTCATAGGTATTCTTTCTGTTTTTCCTACAAATAACACCAATAATGTATGTCTTGTGGCCAGATACACTTTCGGACGGCCAGATTATTAATGTTTTTTTTTTTTTCACTTCCAGAAAATGCATACACATGGATTTGTTTTTCAATTATCGACAATAAAATTGAAGACAAAAAATAAACCACAGATGCAATTTACAGTGTAAATCCAAATTTGTTGGTCACGTCAGTCAGGCTACTAGAAACAGGATGACTTTTTTTTGGGGGGGGGGATGTTTCAAACCATAACCTTTATGCAGGCAAGTAATGCATAAATATTGGTGAGAAAATTAGCGATCGTTTCAAAAACTTTTACTCGGAAGCCCTCTGGAAAAGATTGCAGAGGGTGAAATGGATTGCCATAGAAACCCATCTATACAGAAAAAGATCAATTTAAAGGGAATATACAACATTGGCTTTTACTGTAATTTTCTGAAATGGATAGATTCGGGGGTTAGTATTTTATAGTAAATATTGTTACACTGACTTGTTTGAAGTTTTGTGTTCGCAGATGCTGGAAAAAAGAAAAACAATCATGTTCCTCTAGTTTGGTTCCCTGACCCCACATAAGATGAAACAGAGCAATTTATAGACGTCGGGGATTTGTAAGGCCATGGAACAAGTCTAGCTGGCTTGTACCCATTCATAGGTATGTAATCGATTGCAAACACTACATGTATGTGGACTAACTAAATATGGTAAATTTGGGGTTGTATTTGAAAAAAGCCAGTTTATTTCCAACGCTGGTCGGCCAACCAGCGTTGGAAAGTGATTTTCTTGAAAACTTTTCTTGAAAATGACAGCCCACCAGGTGCCATGATTTACAGGATGCTTGAGACTGTCATTTACTAAAAGTCCAGTAAAGTATTTCATAATACTTTGGTTGTTTTAGTTTTTGATATTTGCAAATGTTGTATATTCCCTTTAAGCAGTGTTATTAAATTTAAAGATACAAGGACAAGATGTACAACGTATCTCCCTTTAAACCTTTTAAAATTTGTTTTCATTGCAAGAAAATATCCATTAGTTTAATGTACTTTTTCAGAAAACAGTGATATCAAGACAATGACTTGTTTAAAAAAAAGTGTTTCTCTTAAAAAGACAAACTATGTTTCAATGCCTTTTGTCTTAAAGTTGAATAGTGTTGGGTTAATGCTTTGATCTTCATTATGACCATAAATTTACATGTACAACGATGTGACTTTTGCAGATCTGTTTTGTACTCTTGATTGTAACTCCTTGTATTCCTTTTCTGTTATGTAATGCACTTACTTCAGTACTAAAGTATAGGCTGCATTTAACATTTTTATCTGCCCTTGCTGACTGAAAATCTAGTTGAACATCGGAGACAATAAAAAAAATCTGTTTAAAGATGTTTTTGTTTTGCTTAATTGTTGTGTCAAAAGTTTGGTTTCATTTACTGGATTTTATTTGACAACATGGAAAGATTTTTCATGAGGAAAGAATGAGGCAGAAATAAGATGTGGGGGTGGGGTTATATTTTTATCACAAAGGGGGAAGGGGCAAGTTGGAAAAGATGCATTCATCCCACTAAAGTCAAAAGAGTATCTCTTGTCTATAGTTAAATATTTGTGCCAAAACTTCCTGCTCGGTATGTGTGGTCAGTGGTGGCAACTAGCAAATGACCGACTTAGTGCAAGTTTATTTTGTGAATCACTTATTGCCAATGGAGGGCGCTATACATTTCTTGTCGATCGTGATCTACATCGTGTGTTCGCGGGACTTTTCGAAGAATTACACCTTTTCCGTGATTTTTACAGTTCGTCAAGGTATGTTCGAGCTTTAAACTTGGTAAAAGTGTTGCGTTACAGAAAGATGAGTGTAATCGGATCCTTTATAATGTATGACTTGTATTCTAGGTTATAAAGATTGTCCGATAAAAAGTGATAATGGTTGGGCAAGTGAATGTCAGACAAGTCGACCGTTGAGACAACTCGACTCGGGACAAGTCGACCGTTGAGACAACTCGACCGTTGAGACAAGTCGACCGTTGAGACAACTCGACTCGGGACAACTCGACCGTTGAGACAGCTAACGTGCACGGCACGTGCACGGTACGGCTACGCGGTTGACCGGAGATGCGCGCACAGGCCCGGCAAAAACGAACCGGCGATGTGCACGGACAATCACGCTGCGCTATATCGGCTCTGCTCTGTTATATGCAACCAAAAAAAGTCATGTGTCATAACTCCCAAACGGCGATCAGCCGCCGTCAAAATCCCCGGTACTATCCCCAAAACTAGGCCCCAAAACATGCGAGGCGACTTGTCTCAACGGTCGACTTGTCTTTCCATTTATCGCACATACGGTCGAGTTGTCTCAACGGTCGAGTTGTCTCAACGGGCGACTTGTCCCGAGTCGAGTTGTCTCAACGGTCGACTTGTCTGACCCCCGGGCAAGTGACACGATCACGAAAGATGTTGTTGTGCCCATTCTTGAAAATCACGCATTCTCGAGAATGGGTATGCACATTCTTGAGAATGTTCAACTGGATCCTTGCTCAATCTTGGCAAAAAATAACTCTTCCAGATTGAGCGCACATTCTTGAGAATGCGCAACAAGATTAACGGTCTTGTCGATGCCGAGCACCGGCTGCGCTTGGCAAGTCTAGCTGAATCCTTGTTCACTGATTCTTAATAATTATACTGTTGCAACGCAAGGCGCTGAAAAGTAGAGTGGATATGAAAAGTATACGCGTATTGGGGGAGGGGACCGGGGGAAAAAAATAAAAATAAATAAGAAAGAATTCAGATTTTTGGGATAATAAAAGAGGGGGGGGGGGGGACGTAAGAATGAAGAATGTGAAGAATGAGAATGAATACTGCGACATCCCATAGTGCTAATGCTATTTCCCATTTAAATTGCCACCAATTTATTGTTCACACCCCACCATAACGTCGCAGAGCTGGATTCTATCTAGTCAAAAGAGCAATTTTGGCAGCTTCTGGACATCGTTTTTTTTTTGTGGCACGCATATGATACATACAGGGACTTGTACTTGTCTAGCCTAAACAAAGCACTTCCCAGACTAGTTCCCAGTCCTCCGTTATAACAAAACTTCCCATAAGTAGGCAGGAAAAAGCAATAATAACAGGTTTAATATTATTCAAATTATCGTAGTTATACGAGTACAGAAGCATAGAACATTTTCTTTCCTCTTTATATGAATTGTTTCCCTTTTAACCGCTATACAATTCATTTAACATAATTATGTCGTGCAATGTTTGTTAAGATTGGGCAAAATTCATAAATTGTGCACGTGATATTCCCACCCAATCTTAAGAATGAGCGCTCATTCTTAAGAACGCGTGCTCGTTCTTAAGAATGGGCGCTCATTCTTAAGAATGCGCGCCCATTCTCGAGAATGCGTGATTTTCAAGAATGGGCACAACAAAGACACAATCACTTGCAATTTGCATTAATTGTGATATGTGTTGATGAGTATCACAGAGAGAACCCCAAATTCGCGCGAACAAAGCTTCGCGCAACCAACTTTCTCGGCGCGTATCTTTTTGCTTGTAATAGGAACCGACGTCAATTCGACGTTCATGTTCGACCGTCGCATCGGCTTTCTTTTCTGTGCAGTTACGTTACTTGAAAATTAAAAGATTTTTTCCTGGAACTTAGGAAGTAGGCTAAGTTCAAAACTTTACATTATTGAATGGCCCACAAAACTCATAAACAAATCGCTACGAGTACGAGTTCCCAATAAGTGTCGCCGTCCAACCCTGGCCCTGAAATGTAAATACAACTTTGTTCGGCTTTCTTTTAGTTTTAACAACAAAGGACGTCATCAGATTTACGGAGCACGAAAAGTAACGTGCGCCTTATCAATTATCATGTTATTTATTTACCATTATTCATGATCTGTTTTGCCGAGATGCCGATCTCAGCACTTAGTTGTTTGTTGGAATGAATATGCTTTAAATTAGAATTTATTTCTGTAGGAATAAGACCTAATCGTATTGTTTGATGCATCCAAAAATACTAGTCCGAAAATTTGGGACTCTCAATACTTTTTTGCAAAATCAAGACCTATTCGACCCATTCTTTGTTCAGCACAAGGAGTGTATGTCAAGAAGTACCAGACGGAGTTTAGGGGCAAAATGTACAGCGTTTTTTTAAAGCACATGTTTGTTGTTGCATATCGAGTATGTTGTTTTTTGTTTGAAATCATTATAGTTTTGGCAAACGTTGGCACATCCTTGTTTGCAATTTCTCTGCTGACTTTGTAATGCGAAGGTAATTTCAAGATTCATGCAATGATGGTACACTCCAGAGCTGGATTTAAAGTGGAGCTAGCCTTTTACAACAACCATTTTGGCTGGAGCTAGCTAGCTCCGGAGCTATTTTCAGAGATAGCCCTCCCTCTGAACGACCGCTGAGTGAACTGGTCATGTTGATTTTCAATCCTGCTTGGGCCAACATTTTGATTGGGTTTTCAGTGGTTACTCACATAGGTTTCCCTGAAATATTCCGGGTTTTCCTCCCAGTCATATAAGCCTCATATAAACTTTTGTGGGCTATCCCTGCTGAGTGCCAATGTGCCAAATAATAAAATGTAAAAGTGAAAGTTATTGATATTTATTTATGTATCCTTGCAGATTTGGGAGTCTTGTTTGAGTGTCACAATTTGAGAATCCGAGAAAGATACAGGCAGATTGTCATTGGAAATGATGGAGGATGAGCACAGAGATCAACAGAATGGCAGAACTATTTGCCAGACGTTGGACCTCTCCTCCACCAATCTTGCTGCGTTTTCCGTCAGCAAAGCCAACTTGGAAACCTGCTCCAATCTCATCTTGGACTACAACGACCTCTCCGTTTTACCTGAGGATGTCGGAGGAGTGCTCCAGGGCCTCCGTGTGCTGTCCTTGACCGGCAACCAACTGGAGAAACTTCCTACTTCTCTGGGGAAACTTGAAAACCTGAAGGAGCTATCGGTGTCGGAGAACAGCCTGACGTCTCTGCCCAAATCCCTGGCGACTCTGAGTAGCTTAACTGTGCTGAAACTGGTCGGGAATAAACTGAAGGAGCTCCCAGAAGAGTTTGGAGCTCTCAAATCCCTGAGGAGATTAGAACTGGATGAGAATCGGTTGACGGCGCTTCCTGAATCCTTTGGACTCCTTGAGAGCTTGGAGGTTTTGGAAGCTGGGGATAACTCACTGGAAGCACTCCCTTCAAACTTTGGATTGCTAAAATGTTTAGAGATACTAAACTTGAGCAGTAACCGTCTAGCAACCTTGTCCGCAACGTTAGGATCACTGCCTTCCTTGCGATGGGTAGATCTATCTGGTAATAAATTGACCGAGCTGGTGGACAATTTGGATTCATGCCGTTGCCTGGAAAAGCTCTTTCTCACTGGCAATAGGTTGAGCACCCTTCCAGATTGGATCGGGAAGCTTCCAAAGCTGCAGGAAATCAGCCTCAGGGATAATCAACTGAAACACAAGCCGCTGCCTGAATCGTTTGGTGAAAGCAGCCAGGAGGGTCTTACGTACTTGGACATGTCTGGGAACTTCATTACAGAGCTTCCGTCCACGCTTGGGTTGCTAACCCGACTAGATTTCCTCCATCTCGGAAGTGTAATTGGGGTTCTGGAGCGACAGAACTTCCAAAACGGGAACTGGATCGAGAGGCTTCCGGACAACTTTGGCAACCTGACCCTTTTGCGGGAACTCAGGGCCGAGGAGAACCAACTGAGCTCTCTGCCGGAGAACTTTGGCGAGCTGGTCTCCTTGGAGTTATTGGACCTGGGTCAGAACATGCTGCGAAGTCTCCCAGACTCCTTTGTCAAGTTGAAGAAGCTTCGGGTGTGCCTGCTGTCCAAAAACAATATCGAGGTGCTACCAGAAGAATTCGGAAACTTGGACGGGCTTTTAGATTTACGATTGGATAGCAACAGAGTAAGGAAGGCCTCATATTTTAGTTTGTTCAGAGATGCCACTTTCAGGTTATAACCTGAATTTTGGGGTTTTTTTCTCTTTTCTCCAAAAATGTGACAAATAAAAAGTGTTGGATTTGTGCTAAAACATTCAGAACACACTTTTTTGAAAGGGGGTAAGGGTAGTTTGAGGTTTTGTAGTACGTGTTTCCGGCTTTTATTCATATATTGGTGGATGAAAAGGATGAAAAGTTAATCATGTCTGAGCGTAATTGCTTTAACCCTTACCCTACTTGACCCTCCAATGCATGCCAATTGTGCCTCAAGAAAATCTCCTATGTTTTTTGCATGGCCCTCCAATATCTGCCATGTCATTTCAAGGGTAACTGGACAGGCACTCCAATACATGCCACAGAGAACAATGAGAGTCCTCTGATAACAAAGTGAGTGCCCCCAGCTGGTCAGTATCAGGCACCCTCCAGGGCCTCCAACTCCTGCCAATTGGAGCCTTCACTGTTAAGACTTGTTATCTGCCAAATAACTGCAGCTGGAGGGCATTGGCATAACCAACTGACATGCAGTAAACTACCCTCAGAGAGTAAGGGTTAAAAGGTGGTCCATATTTTGTTGACAATGGGAATTTCAGCAATCAATCAAATGATTTAGTGCTTTAATGGCAGTGATGTAGTGCCTTGGTGCTCGGCCTTGGCCTTAAGACTCGATTTTAGGGCCTTGGGGTGTGAGGACAAAAGCCTTGCTCTTGGCCTTGAGGGCAAAGCCTTGGCCTCGGCCTTGGCCTTGAGGCTCAAAGCCTCGGCCTTGGTCTTGGATGATAGGGCCTTTGCCCCAGCACTGTTTAACAGGGAATCAGCAACTCAGACGCCCTGTTTTTCAGTGTTAGGCAAATTTGAAAACCCAATTTTCAACTCGAGCCCCATTGGTGTATAATGCAAATCTAGCTGATTGCCGTCTGATATCTTTGGCATTTGTTGTTTTGTATTCCGAACCAGTTGACAGCGTTGCCAGACTCTTTCAACCGACTCACCAACCTGGAAACCCTGGACCTGTTTGACAATCACCTGACCGAGCTGCCCAAGGTGCTGAACTACCTGGACAAATTACAGCGGTTGGATCTCGACGAGGTATCTTTCACAGCTTGACCTTTGACCTACTGTTAGGCTTGCACCCGTTCACGGATGTGTGACCGATTGTAAACACAATGTGGACTAACTAAATTTGGTAAAGTGGGGGCAGTATTTGAAAAATGTAAGTTTTTTTCCAACGATGGTCAGCCGGCCATCTTTGGAAATTTATACAAAAATCCACCTTTCTTGAAAATGACAGAATACCAGGTGCCATGATTTCCAAGGATGCTTGAGACTATTATTCACTTTCAGTCAAGTAAGGTATTTCATAATAGTTTGGTAGTTTTGTTTTTGAGGATGTACATGTAAATTACCTTTAAGGAAATTATGTCGACCTTGATTGAATTTCCTCCGGAGCGAACAGAAAAAAGTCTTTAGGGGATGGGGAGAAGAAGATATTTCACACACACACAAAAATCTAGAAATCTGAACAGCAAAGGCTCCCTTTTCCTAGAGGCTGACCTTCTTCAAGACTTTTCGGCTTCATGTGACGACTTCTTGAATTCATGTCAAGAAATTACTTCATATCAGAGGGAAGCAACAAGATCTTATCACATTCAACAAAATTAAAATGATTGTGCTTCATTTTTTTGTGTGGGATCTAGCAAAGTGTAACTTGAGCTGTCCAGTTTTCGAAAGAGCGCACCACTTAAAATTTGCGTGCGGCGATCGATATTAATTATTATTGACCGCTAAGTGTTTTAAAGTAGGTATTTTGTAAGAGTCAAGGGCTTAATAACCTGTTGAACGGATGTGAACAATGAACCACTGTCTACTAAAAAAGTGTGATCTGTCAACATAATGCGCCGTGATTTTACGATTAGAAGAGCATCACAGTCGTGTGTGCGTGTGTGTATCCTTTTTCTTTGAATATTCAAACTGGCAAAAAGCTAATTTGAATATTGGGTTGATGATCGCATATTCAGGGCAGCCGTAGGTGTTGCCAGGTCAAATTTGTTGAGTCTCAAACATATTCATATCACTCTAGAAAGGGTAATTTAAAAAAAAAAAATTTATTCTATTTTTTTCCCCTCTCGCTAGAATGATTTTGACATGCCAGCCATATCCGTGCCAAACTTCACCAAGCCCAACCGGTACCCATCCGCAGGAAAATCACTCACCAGTAAAAACTGGCGGACGAAGATACGACCAGACGAGCTCCTTTGTTCACAGAAGACCACAGAGGTTAGTATTTTTGAACAATAGACCTTAACAAAAACCGACGCTATATTGAGTGCGAGTGGAAAATGGAAATATTGTGTGTGTCTGTGTCCCATATGCCACAAGAGACGAAGGCCGAGTGGCATATTGAACATGGACACACTACATTTTCGGCGATTGTGTAGTGTAGGGCCCGGTTCCTATAAGGGAACAAAATCCACTTTAAAATTATTGGACCTACCAAACTAGTTGGCGATATTCTCAATAAACAGGTATGTCATCGATAAAGGGCAGGGTTTTGATTTTTGAGGGAAATTTGGGGGTAAAATGGCGATGACAGCACGGCGACAACACGCGACCCGAAAATAAAGATGGCGATTACCGCGCGATATACCGTGAGCACGCACGGCGTGCTGAATCGCAAGGCACAAACCGCGCAGGAAAATCGTGATTTCTACCCCAAGAATCTGTTCAAAATTGCACAACGGATTTCATTAGAATTGAGAAAAATCTGCTTTTGATTGTAAAGGTGATTTTTGAGCAATGAAAAACATTTTTGACTCTAATTTGATAAAACAAAACAGGGGCCCTACACTTCACGATCGCCACATTTTCCGTGTTCTACGAGCACACCCATACAGTGAGTATGTAAGCACACCCATATGTACAGTAAGTACGAGTGCGGATAACGCTTGAAGATGATCAACAATTTTGTTATACCTCTTTGGAATTTGGCATATTCAGGACCTTTTATGTTTTATTGTTTGCACTTAATAAAGTTTGTTCAAAGTTTGTGATAAATTACAGAAAAGAACCGCAAAAAATATTTGTCTAAATGTTAAATCGCAGGTTGAAGAATCAGAAGTAAGGAAGGATACCGATGAACAAACTCCGAAAATTAAATGGACAAGTGTCCTCGCCCAGGCACTGCGCAAAGGGACATCCATGTGGCAGTCGCACGAGGGCGCCAGCACCAGAAAATCCAGCGGCAGTGAGTCACCCGAGGAGTCCAACTCGCGGCAGTCTCACGGAAGTAGGGCGACCTACTCCTACAGTGATGACGATGACTTGGCCGATCTGGATGGTACGTAACTGTATACCCAAATTATTTAAAGAACCATCATTGGAAATTGATACAAAAAGTCCACCTTTCCTGATAATGACAGCAAACCAGGGGTGCGTTTTGGCGGTCGTAACCAAGAATTGGTTCTGTTGTTTCTCTGTTGTTAATTGTTTTGGGGATTGAGTACTACATCATCATGAGTAATTCTTACCAAATTAATATTGCCAAAGAAATTCACCGACAAGAAACAACTGAACCAATTCTTGGTTATGACCGCCAAAAGGCACCCATTGTGCCATGATTTCACAGGATGCTTGAGACTATTATTCACTTATAGACAATTTAGGTATTTTATAATAATTTGGTAGTTTTGTTTTTGACGTTTGCACCCCAGATGATCAACAAAGTGATGGCGCCCTCTCTCAGCCAACAGGGGAGATGATGGTTACCTCTGAAGAAAACTGGGATGAGGAACTTGAGGATGTCTCCTGTTATGGTAAGAATCTTAAAGAAACCGGTGTCATCCACGTCATGCAGTGTGAAGCTTTTTAGTTTTCCTTTTAGGTTGAATTAGTCTTGGTCTTAGGCTGGATTTTGAGTTTGTGGCCCTAAGGCCCATTCGGTTCGTTAGTGTGACGTCATCTCAATTCAACCACACGGTGAAGCATAGCCCAAATGGAACCGGAAGTTAACGCAGCTCGAGCGTTTATCCAATGGGCGCTACTAACCATGACCTTTTTGCTAGCGAACCGGATTGTGGACACCGTGCTACTGCCGTATCAAACTCAATTAATTAGACTTTTTAAAAATCGGCATGGTTATAGCAAGACGTTTCGAACCATTTGACTCGGCAAATTGAGTTTGGCATGGCACTATCCTGTGGCTCCACAGGGCTGTCACTCTATCGTCATTCCAAAGGGCAGTGGCACAGCACTGTTTTAAACACCATGCCATTGCCGTGCCGAACTCAATTCAATTCGAGGTTAGAGCAAACAGTTTAGGAATGCGCAATTCTCACAGGAAGTGAAATTGTCGCAAATATTTTCATCCCGCTGAAAGTTTATTGGACTGCTTGAACTGCTTTAACCTGGCCAGTTACTCCAGATGCATTAAGGTTTGACTATGGGCTCCATGCGCCAACAAAAGAGGGCGCGTTTTTACCTCTTTTGAGAGCTCCGTGGACGGGACACACAGCATGTGCGTACGTACTGTACTGGTTCACATGCGAAGTACGCACGACTTCCTGCATGTGCAAAAGTTACAGCCATCACGTCTTCGCGTGAGCGTCAGGCGTCGTTGGCGTGCAAATATGTTCAAATTCAACTTGCGATGGTCTCCGAGACTTATCCCCGCCTCTTTGGATAAATTCGAAATACGCAGTGGATGGATCGGAAACCAGTCTAGGTCACCCCCAACTCTCCTTTTCTGGCCGTTGATGGGGTACTTGTGCACGGAGCCCATTAAGTTTGGCGTTTAGAGCAACTGCAGTGCTGAAGACGAGCTATTACTGTACTAGAACAGGCCTACTGTGGCTAGTGTGGTGAAGTTGCCACAGAAGTAGAGGTCACTATCAATCAGATGAATCAAATCCAATCTTGGGAACTTTGGCACTAGGACCTGCAAGATACCAAGCATACCTTTCTTGCGCTTTCTTCAAGCTAATGCACGTGACTGAGTGGGGCACTGTGGTCCAGTGGTTACAGTGTTCGACTCACGTGTTGTGGGTTCGAACCCTGACGATGAACATGGGTGCTTGTGTTCTTGGGCAAGACACTTTACTACAATAGGAGAACAAAGACCAAGTCAAATGCAAGTCATTGGGTGTGTTCGATTAGCTCAGCCGGGTCCACTCGGGTATTAAAGGCAAACAGGTTAGCCACGACAGCCTCGCCAATAACACGTGAGGTCCGTGGCCGTAGCCGTTGACAAAACGCCCGCTTCGGACTGAGTCTTACTTTGAAATCTACTGCTTTTCCATCAATCACAAGCGTAACAACGTCGGGCTGGAATTATAGCCTCTAAAATCACAATGAGATCAATAAATAATAATGTTTGGACTTCAAATAAAGTTGATGTTTGGGTCCACTTGATCTTTAGTTTCCACTGACCGGCCGCCATATTTGTCCCTTTCTTGGAATGAACAACGCATGCGTGTGACATATTTCCACCACTGACTCTGCTCCACGAGCAGGGTCTGCGGTGGCTGACCCGGGTGAGCCCTGAGAATGATGTCAGAGCTATTCGAACGGCACGGGGCTAACCCATGTCGACCCGGGTGAGCTAATCGAACGCACCCTCAGCTGTCAAGACTGTAGTGGGGACAGCCAGTTCCCCCACTTGCTGAAAATCCTTCCCCCTATAAATCCTGTCTCTCCGGGCAATTTTCCCAACTTGTTATTTGCCGTAGATTGACCCATGAGCGATCCAGTTTCAACGCTCATTCCTTTTGCCTGCTTAGTGATCGTTCTTGTACATGTTGTTTCAGAACACGACAGGATTTATCAACATCCCCTGAACGGTCTACACAAGCCAGGAAGCCTTGATCCTTCCTTCGCATTCACTCCTTCTGACGGCCACGCTATGAATCTGCCGAGTCCGTGCATCAACGCCGATGCGGAGGAGGGGCAGTTTGATGACGCTGATGAATAACCATGCGACAAAAGCTCTGGTACAAACCAAACCAGTTGACCTACCCTTAATTTTTGTTCTTTACCTTCAAAGCGCCCTCTTTTACGCAGCTATTAAAAAAACACATATTTGGAGAGTATAGTTCATCAGCTTTTCAACAATGAAAAACATAGTTCAAAATCTTCCAATTGGGTAAATATTTATGAGTTATTGCCAATTCAAAAAAAGTGCAGATTTTTTCATTTTGGCCACGGTCAATAAAATGTCATTTATTACGAATGTAATGGATTTGGCATGAGGGTAGTTTTGCTTTCTTTAATTTTCTAATCAATCTTTTTTGGGGGGTTTCTTTTTTTAGTTTTAAATTTTTTTTGCAACAATGGTCCTTTCTCTTTTTGGAAGAAGTGGTAGTCCTGAAAAGGACTGTTTGGTTAACTTCTTAGATGTTTACTGTGCTGCTCTGCCCTCTACTTGGTAGCCTCTTTCACGGATGCAAGTTTCAGCCCGTGTTTTCACTGCGCAGTCAAATATCAGTCACCGTGGACAAAATGAAAAATCGGCACTTGGTTTCAATTGGCCGTAACTCTATTAACCCGCCTATGGAAACATGCATTGTCAGCCTGGTTATTACTTGGGTCAATATTGGTCAAGACCCCCATTGGTTTGTACACAGTATGCCAGGAGGTGAGATAGAAAATTTTTGACTGTTTGTGACCTCTTAAATAGTAGGAGGGTTAATATTTATCCGATGAGAAACTTTTGTCTTTGTTGACAAGCTAATGAACGATACTCTTCAGATAATGTATTGATATTTTTGTGCGATGTATTTTCGTTAAAGCTGTAAAAAAAAAAAAGGCACTTTGAGGGTTCGTTTTTTTTGGGGGGGGGGACACCCTGTATGCTAGCTACACACTTTTGTAAAATTACCTTTTAAGATGCACTCTCTCAAATGAAGTCAATTCCTACAGTTTGTCACGTGCATCAGCATTTAGGGCATCAAATTTTCATGACGCGCATCAGCTTCGCTGCATTTCCAAGAAATTTCGAGCAACGTTCGCGCGTGTTTAGAATATTTTGGACACTGCGCGCACACACGGTGGCGTTAATAATAACAACAGGCATTTATATAGCACTTTTAAATAGGATATCAAAGCGCTTTACAATTATTATTACCCCTGTTCAATGGGCAAACACTCCTGAAACCTCCTCAACTCCCATTTCTGAACTTAACATGAATCTGGGTTTGTGATCACTTCATCATGGGACAAAGAAATTATGTCAGCAGTACTATGGTACTAAGCAGTGGTTCAAACAGACTACCTCAATGCTACAGGAAGTCTTGGCCCAAGTCCCGACTTGGACTTCATTCTCCAAAAACAACCTGTCCTTGACAATTTTGAAGCCGCGGCAGTAAAGGTTACTATCAACAACATGAATCATATCCACTCTTAAAAACTTTGGCAGGGCTATCCATCAAATTCCAAGCATACCTCACGCATGTTGTACTCAAGCTGCTGCACACAGGTGAAGCATGCTTGGAATTTCTCGGGTAGCGCTGCCAAAGTTCCCAAGGTTGGATTTGATTTATCTTGTTGATAGCCACAGCAGCTGATTCTGGCACATTGTGTCTGTGCATCTCTTTTGAAATAATGTACCGATTTCAGATTTCAGTAAGCCAGTTTCATAATCTTGACGAAGTACATGTAGTCAAGATCATTGAGGATTGCTGAAGTGATGTTACGCGAACACTCATTCTGCTGGCAAGTTACACACACGAGCGTCCCTGCGCGTTCATGCACCTTCGACGAGCACTCGATTATCCAGAATGACCCATGACCTATATCATTGTGCGCATTGGCAGTTGAAATATCAACCTGGTTTATCGGGACAAATAGAACTTTAAAATCGCACTTTTCTGTTCATTTTGTAGTAACTTTTTGTATACTCTAAAAAGAGTCATATGTAGTTTAGTTGTACTGACAGTTTTTAAGAAAAAGCAAAATGACTTTTTCACCTTTTAAAATGTTGCTGTGTAATAATAAGTGGGAGTGTTCCATGTTTTTAATAAATTCATATTTTAAAAAAATATTCACTTGTATTTTTATACGTGCGATTGTATAAGCAAACATGAAAAAAGTCTCATCGTTTTCTCATATTTTTTCATATTTTGTTATTGAGTAAGTTTGTTCATTGTATGTAAAAAAAAATTGAAGAAATTTGTTTATGATCAACATTATTTTGCAATAGAATAATTTGAACAATATTACTTTCGTGATTGTTTTTGTCATAAACAGTATATTTGACAGTTTACCTCAGGCAAAATGAGACGAGCTATGCAGTGTTAACCATAATTATTGAAATGCATGGCTATTGCCACGACCAAATTGTAGCATTGGCCAAACTATAGTTGGGAGTGTCCCATCTATGCCTTACTAGTTACTACAGTTGGGGCAATTGCTGTACTTGGGCATTAACCATCATTTTCAGTGTCTGGAACTTTCTCTAATGCTCATTATTGTCCAGTTTTTAGTCAGTCACACGTGTTCTTGTTTTCTCGTACTTTATCTTGATTGTTGTGTCGTGATGGTTTTTGTTTTCTTTGCCGACGCTTCAGGAGTGTGGGGGTTGCTGTAAAGAAACTTATAGTGCTTGCACTTTTCCCACTCTACCTGATTCGTTTTGTTTAATAATAATAATAATTTAAAAATTTGATATATTTTCTTCTAATCCTTGGACCTTGCAGACTTTTTAAGTGTTGAATTTTATTTGGACTCAATTGTTTCAGTACTGTAATTGCTTTCGGCAGGATTCGTTGTGGAATTTGATGAAATTATTTTACCAACACGAAAATAAAAGTGTTTTCCAAATGATTCCTTGGCCCACTTTGCTGCTTTTCTTGAGCATGTTGTGTACAACCCAAGGGGCCAACATATAGTCCTGTTTGCACCTGACTGATTGATTGACTAACCGTCACTTTGTGACATAAGCCCTGGCCAATTTCATAGAGCTGCTTAAGCACAAAGTTTGCTTAAGCCCAAAATAAACTTGCTTAATATAATCAGGATACCGATCAAAACGCCATGCGATGTACATTGCTTGTGACTGGTATTTAGCTGTTGTTTACTTAGTGTAACAATCGCATGGAGTTTTAGTGGGTAACCTGATTATATTAAGCAATTTTTATTTTGCGCTTAAGCAAAGTTTGCGCTTAAGCAGCTGTATGAAATTGGCCTCAGCTGTGTTGGCTGGTGAAGAGAGCCCGGCTTTAAAGGAATATTTAACATTTGCTTTTGCTGTAATTTTTTTAGGAATGGATAGATTTGGGGGGTTGGTACTATTAATAAGGGAATAAATGTGTGCTCCGTCGGTTTTTATCACTCTGTTTAATACCACTTAGAGTCTGGGTGCTGATAATTACCCGAGCCGGAGGCGAGGGTAATTATCAGCACCCAGACTCTAAGTGGTATTAAACAGAGTGATAAATACCGACGGAGTACATATTTATTCCCATTCATAAATACCTTTTCGGTAAAAAAAAATCATATAATTCGTTCAAAACATCCCGATTTTGTTCAACAAATTCACTTTATGCTTTTTGAATCATCCCTCCTGCAAAATAATGGAGTGTTCAGCTGGCGAGTAAGATGAAAACAACCCTTTTATGGAGATTGACGCGCGCGTATCATGTTCTATGCGATGTCGCGCAGAACGCACCTGGCGCGTTGCGTTTTGAATTTAGAACTATAAAATTCTAACTCCCTGGTAATGTTGCGCATGCCGACGTGAGGATTGTGAACGTTCAACCAATTAAACGATAAGAGGCACTGGATTTTTAGGAGTCCACATTTTATTGTGACACTGGAAAAGTGTTTAAGACCAGCTAGCCATGTCTTTATCATCCGTTTAATACCGGCCACGTGACGGGCTCTCGACCAATAGGAATGGCTAAACTGTCTGTGGTATTTATGAATAGCAAATATTGTTACACTCACCTGTTTAAAGTTTTGTGTTCGTAGATAGTAAAAAAACACAAGAAAAAACTCACGTTCTTGTAGTCTGGCTCCCTGACCCCACTTCAGATGAAACAGCGTCGTCTAACAAGACGTCGGCTAATTGTAAGGTCAGGGAAGCAGTCTGGATGGCTTGTACCCAGTCACAGATGTGTAACCGATTAAAAAACATAATGTGGACTAACTGAACTTGGTAAATTGGGGGCAGTATTTGAAAAAAAAAGCCTGTTTTTGTTTTTCTAACGATGGTCGGCCGACCATAGTTGGAAATTGATACAAAAATTGCACATTTCTTGAAAATATCAGCACACCAGGTGCAATGAATTTACAGGATGCTTGAGACTGTCAATCACTCAGTCCAGTAAGTGTTTCATTATAACTTGGTAGTTTTGTTTCTTGACATTTGCAAATGTTGTATATTGCATTTAGATCTGACCCATCGATGTAGAAACCACCAGTGCGCGAGAACCAGTCTGATTTGATTGAATATAATTTTATGCACTCTAGCTTGTACGGGCTTGGTGAAAGTAAAAGTGGATCCATTTTACTAAAAAAGTGTACTACAATCAATGTAGCAATTGCTAAAAATATGAACGCGTGTACAAACATGGTTTTGAACTGTGAGCCACTTTTGTTTTGAGATGAAAATTGACAGCTAAAAATGTGGGACCTCGTCTAGCCTTCCGAACCTCAAAAAAATGCACAAAGGTTGGTTGAATGCCGCTTTTTTATTTCAACATGCATCAAAATCGATTTAATTTAAAGGAATTTCAGGGGGTTAATTGCACAGATTGCAGCAGCAACAAATGTAATTTACTATCGAGGTGCGGCGGTCCGCAAACCGAGTACACGGACCACAAAACGCTGATATTTTCTGCGGTGCAAGATTCACGAAGCGTGGGCGCAAATATGCGCCGATAGATAGCATGCACAAACATGTGGCCGCACCGTGTACCGAGGAAACGGTGTAATCTTTGCTCGTGGCTCTCCCATTCAAGTCTACACCCAGGACCCATGATCGTTATCTGCGATATGGAGGTATTTTCCAACGTTGCAGTCTGCACGATCTACGCGCCGGAACCAACTGAAAATTGACGCATATTGCAGTTTCCGCCCGATCGCGCTCCCCGCGCCGTCCCTGCCGTGCTCCGCGCTAAAAGCAATGGAGCGGAGCACCGCCGCTTTGCTCCGCTCTGCTCCGCTCAGAAACACGTAAATGACCACATTTGTACATCAAGCACCGACAGGCTCCGCACAACAGAAAACAAGAGAAATTGCGGATCCTCTGGCACCGCACAGAAACACGTAAATAGCCATATTTCTACACGATCCGCAGCGGCTCCACACAAGAGAAAACAAAAGAAATTGCGGATCCAACACTCGCACAGATCTGTCCATTATCGAGTTTCAACGCACGCGGTGCACGCAACCGTTGTATCGTGTGTGGTCTATGGAGCGTGTGACCGCGTGCCAAGTCGTCCGTGCACCGACCGAATGACAGTAATTTCAGCAGTAAACTTTCATGGAAAACACAATCACACTCGTTTTCCTGACAATACCTCCAGAAATAACAATGTCACATTATGTCCGGAAATTGAGTTGTGATGTGTTTTGAGACCCCTCAGGCATCTCCTCGCAAATTTCAGGCAATTTCATTTTTTTTGACCAAAATTGAAAGAAAATATAAATGAAATGCAAGGGGTTCCCCCTTTCAATTTTTAAAATTTAAATTGGCCATTTTTCTTGACTGGTTTTACCCCAAATTTTCTTTACAATTTCTCCCTGTGAATGATAAATGTGTTCTGAGATCCTCTAGGTTACTTCTTTGCGTGGTTCAGGCAATACATTTCGACCAAATTTGGGAAAAAAATGATAGGGGTTATTAATTATTCCATTGTGCGTCATAGGCAACGGATTAAAAAAAACCTGTGTCACCGTCACTCTGTATCATGTTATGCGATAATGCGCCCGGCTAGTTGTTGCATTACAAAACACTGCATTCGAATTGACCAATCATACCATTTAGTCCTGATTTGGGAATGGATGACGTCACAATTTAGTCGACTCCGATTTGCTGGCGTGCGGCTTGCATTATCTGCATGTCTAAACATATCAGACGTTATACTGGAGACTCTTGGCTCCGTGGATAACGGGTGATACTGTAACTATGTTTGTGCGCTAAAGCTATTAACAATTTACATGCCTAAATTACTGTCTTGTTCCGAGGGTTGTAAATGCCCCAAAACAGAACAAAGGAGTTGTTTTTTTTCTGTTAAAATATAACAAACAGATGGAACTTTGGTAATAAGAAAATGTTTTTATTTATTTTGTGGATACCTTGTCAACTTTTAATGTTGACATGCCTCAACTGTGCTTTTAAAAAGTTTGACATGCGTAAATATGTCTGGGTTAAATTAAGTTTTATTTTTGCAATTTAAAATGTTCTTTAATAAACTGCATGCTGTGGTTGAAAGAATTAAAATAATGCTTTGAAGAAAACACTGTGTGTTGTATGTCCTTTGCCAAACTTGTCTCTCCTATAGTGCATAAGTATATTCCCCTGTGAGAGTTTTCAATTTTTTGAAACATACAATTCATTTATATTTAAATTGAAAAAAGGAATATAAATTATACATGATGAATATATTTAATCATGAATTATTCGTGTTATTTTAAATATATTTGATTCTGAGAACAAAACTTCAATTTGTACAGACAATTCTAGCAATAAATTAATGTTTTGGGAACGTAAAAAAATAAAATATAGTAATAAGGGTGGGATTCGAACCCGGTTCGCCTGATTGGGAGTCGTACGCCGGTCCTCGCAAGCGTTAACGCGCTCAGATTTTTAACCAGTTCTGCTTAATTATAACTGTAAGATAGGCTTATCGTGGCTTTTCACGTTGACGCCCATACAGGCTTAGACGTAATAAACAGTCTGATGATGTAAATCACTCGTTGATTTTGGTTGTAGAGGTTTGTGTTGATCTAAATTTGATTGGAAAAGGTTGAAGGATGTAAACTGAACTAACTTCGTGAAATTCCATGAAATAAAACAGATACGATCCGTGGTTCAGCACGAAGCACACGTGTTCAACGGATGCAAGGGAGTCTATTTCTTTTGTTAATTTCCTTTGTTGATTCTTGCGTTAACAATAAAATGTTTCCATTGAGGCAAAAGGATTAAACGCCGCGATCTTTTTTCACGCTTGATTGCCTCTGAATGGGGAATATTGAAGCGGAAAATCACGGAATACAGCACTTAGGCAGCGTTTTAGGCCACATAATGATACTTTTTGCAGAGGAAATTACATACTGAATACAACTATAGTTTCAAAATGTAAAAATACGCCGTATTTAAAAAGTCGAGGTAAAAATTTTGGGAAAATTTTGCCAAAACTTTCCTCTTTCCAACGTAGGTGGCGCTATATATATTTCATTCTCGCATGTGCCGTTGGTTAGCGCCATGGCGCTATATATGATTTTATTTCTCAGTGCGTGCTAGCCGCCTGATCTTATTTCCAAGCATATTTTATAAAGAAAACTTAAGAATAAGTTGAATGGGTCTTGAATGGAACTAAAACAAAAGCATGAGGTCAGCGAGAAAATGCGATCCGAATAGAAGTCAACTTTAACGGAACAAAACAGGCGATATTGATCGCCCCCAGAGGAACTTCCGCCCCCAGAGGAACTTCCGCTAGGAACTCCCTGGGGGCGACCGTTATTGTCGCCCCTAGCGGTATACCGCTGGGGGCGACCGATATTGATCGCCCCCAGAGGAACTTCCGCTAGGGGCGACCTTTCTTGTCGCCCCTAGCGGTATATATTAACGCGCGTACCGCTGGGGGCGACCACTACTATTGTCGCCCCTAGCGGTATAACGCTTGTACCGCCGGGGGCGCCCTTTGTCGCCTCTAGCGGTATATATTAACGCGCGTACCGCTGGGGGCGACCATTATTGTCGCCCCTAGCGGTATACCGCTGGGGGCGACCGATATTGATCGCCCCCAGAGGAACTTCCTCTAGGGGCGACCTTTCTTGTCGCCCCTAGCGGTATATATTAACGCGCGTACCGCTGGGAGCGACCACTATTGTCGCCCCTAGCGGTATAACGCTTGTACCGCTGGGGCGCCCTTTGTCGCCTCTAGCGGTATATATTAACGCGCGTACCGCTGGGGGCGACCATTATTGTCGCCCCTAGCGGTATACCGCTGGGGGCGACCGATATTGATCGCCCCCAGAGGAACTTCCGCTAGGGGCGACCTTTTTTGTCGCCCCTAGCGGTATATATTAACGCGCGGGGATGCGCGGGGCTGGCTTGATTTTTGGTATACATGTACGATTTATAAACCTTTTTACAACTATTCCTCCACTAACGACTTTTAAATAAATATATTTTATAACAATAATGTGATGATTTTTTTTCTAGGGCTAGACTGCTTTCCAACCCCGTTCCCACGCGGCGAAAAAAAATCCCCGCCTCCCCCTGCCTCTTGCTTCATGCGATAGGCCCTTGGCGTTATATACACGCCTGTTTTGTTCCGTTTAAAGTTGCCTTTTATTCGGATTGAATTTTCTCGCTGACCTCACTCTATTGTTTTAGTTGTAGACCGATCCAACTTATTCTTAAGATTTCTTTTTAAACTAATGTGATGCTCGGATGTAAGATCGGGCGGCTAGCGCGCGCACTGCAGAGAAAGCAGCACATGCGAGAATGAAATATATATAGCGCCACCTACGTTGGAAAGAGGAAAGTTTTGGCAAAATTTCCCTCAAAATTTTACCTCGACTTTTTAAATACAGCGAATTTTTGCATTTTGAAACTATAGTTGTATTCAGTGTTCAATTTCCTCTGCAAAAAGTATCATTATGTGGGATAAAACGCTGCCTAAGTGCTGTATTTCGTGATTTTCCGCTTCAATATTCCCCATTCAGAGGCACTCAAGCGTGAAAAAAGATCGCGGCGTTTAATCCTTTCGCCTCAATGGAAACATTTTATTGTTAACGCAAGATTCAAGAAAGGAAATTGACAAAGAAAATAGACTCCCTTGCATCCGTTCAACATCTGTTCGTTGACAGCTGCCATGGTACACATCGTGCACCACAGAAGTACCACAATCTAGCCGCCTGTAGACAAGGCTAGCCCCTTATCTATTGAACGGCGTGCCGATGCCATGGGGTGTTTTTCAAATATCGGCATCGTTACCAACTGAGGCCCATTAAAAAGTGAAATTCTGGTTGGATCTAGGGTTTGTTTTTGCTGCTGGAAAATTAAATCATACTAAATTCTCCCACACCGGTGAAGTTATCCTGAATCTTGGTCTTTCTTTTAAAAAAATCTCTATAATATATAGAACCTATAAAGTCTACAACCCCTCCCCCAAAAGAAACCCAAACAAACTCAACCAAGAAAACAAACACAACAATAAGAAACAGGATTATTTTTCCATTTTTATTTATTGTGATGATTTAATATTCCTTATTCAAAGAACTATGCACAGCATTCCAACAATCTTTTAAGTACATGTTTACATTTACAATACACCTACACAATATTTACACTGCAAGATAAGATTTATCGGACTAAAAGAAAGGCAGTAAATATAAACATTTAACATTTTGACAAATGAAGTAAAGAAATGAAGTCGGAATATGTATAGAATATCACACAATATTGTACATTAAACAAAATATTATTGACAATGTGACAGATTATGAGAAAGATTCCACTGGATTGAAATTTCTGACTTGGAAGTTGGATGTAGTGACAAGAAAATCGCAATGTCGGTTACAAGTTTGAGGGAATGAACAAGAACATATTAAGTATTAAGTATTTGTCACAAGTACACGTGAGTATTATTCATAAGATGGAATTTGCGTCGGGTTGATGTAATTTCAATTTTAGGTTTTGCCCTTCACCAACATATTTTTCTCACAATCACTAGGGGGCAACACTGAGTTTAGAGTGTTTATAAAATATGTCAGTTAGTGAAGGGCAAAACCCAACATTGAATTGACACTTGTGGAGCTTCTAAACTGACGAGGGACTGAAATGACTTCACAAACGTGTTCTGAAAAATTGCGAATTTATATTCATACAAAGCATTAATTAGTCAAATTACAGGTGCATTACCTAAAATCCACAATGACTACCCTCTCTTGGCATAACCATTCCTGGCCCATTTTCATGACCTTGGGTTGCTAGCCCCACAAACTCCAAGAAAACAAACTTCCGATTGTCTCAAAGGCATATACAGTGAAATCTCGATAATTCAAACTTCAAGGGAACAGTTTCGAAATGTGACTTAAGCAGAATTTTGAGATAAGCAGGGTTGTATATCATTGTTATACTACTGAAGGGAATGGATTCCTTGTTTGACTTAACAGTTGTTTTGAGTTATTAGAGTTTGAGTTATCGAGATTTCACGGTAACATCATTTGCTTTTCATGCATTTTGTTTACAATAATAACACTACTCAAAATCCAAAGATGAATTTTCAAAAACTAGACTGTCGAAGTTTCAACTCATCTGTGGACATTACACATTTCTCGATTTCTTCTTAGTGACAGCAAGCCAGACAAAATGATTTTACTGGGGTTGTTTAGTACCAGTATGATCTTTAATCCAAGTAAGCTTTTTGAAAATAATTTGGTTGGCTACTTTTGGGATGAATGCAAATGACCCTACAAGCCTTTAACCTTCATAATTATAATGAAAAATTCCATGCTTAGTATTTTTAGTTAAAGATCAGACTGTTTGAAATAGTGCTAATATAAAAGAAATATACATATTTCAAGGCAACATTCCTATGTGAAGATCAAATCACTTTGATACAAACAGTATTGTTCTTTTGTTTTATTTTTGGAAAAATCCCTTTGTGAAGCAGGGGTTTGGAATGTACACATTTAAACAATCTAGTCAAGACTAGGAGAGGGACTTCCTCAGCTCAGGAAACTGGTACCCTGTTGTCCTTGGCCCACTTCTTCATGACACGGATGATGTATTCCACCTGCGGGTTACCGGTGTTGCGCAAGATTTGAAGGATGTCTCGCAGTGTTTCCCTGTAGAGGAAAATAGGACAAAAATCTAGTGGCTTGAACTTCACTGGTTTTTTTGCACAAAAAATGAAAGCTGTTCAAAGAGTATAAGAAAAAGAAGAGGGAAATCCATAAAAATCAATGAATTTGAATAAGAGGACTAAGAAGTTGAAAAGTATTCATGAAAATTTGTAATAAAAAGCTGTATCCTCTCTGAGTGATCCCCGTTTTATATTTCCCAGGTCTGCATCGTGACTTTGGGCGTGATCCCTGGCTGCATGGCATATAGAGGTTTATGGCTTCTGACTTGCCCCCCTTTGACAGAGACATTGACAAATTAGGGAATCACCAACATAGGGCTGGATAGCTCAGTTGGTAGAGCACCAGAGTGATACTTATTGAGATGTAATTGGTCAGTGCGCACTGTTTGATTGATGTACTGTTGTCACCTGACCGTCACCTGACCAAAACTTGAGATCTGATTGGTCATTGTGCAGTGTTTGACTGACCTACTGTGGTCACCTGACCAAAGGTTGAGATCTAATTGGTCAGTGTGCACTGTTTCACTGATCTACTGTGGTCACCTGACCAAAGGTTGAGATCTAATTGGTCAGTATGCACTGTTTGATTGATCTTCTATAGTCACCTGACCAAAGGTTGAGATCTAATTGGTCAGTGTGCACTGTTTGATTGATGCACTGTGGTCACCTGACCAAAGGTTGAGATTTAATTGGTCAGTGTGCACTGTTTGACTGACCTACTGTGGTCACCTGACCAAAGGTTGAGATCTAATTGGTCAGTGTACACTGTTTGATTGATCTTCTATAGTCACCTGACCAAAGGTTGAGATTTAACTGGTCAGTGTGCACTGTTTGACTGATCTACTGTGGTCACATGACCAAAGGTTGCGATCTAATTGGTCAATGTGCACTGTTTGATTGATGAACTGTGGTCACCTGACCAAAAGTTGAGATCTAATTGGTCAGAGTGCAGTGTTTGACTGATCTACTGTGGTCACCTGACAAAAACGTTGAGATCTAATTGGTCAGAGTGCACTGTTTGCTTGACAGACATGACACCCACCTTGGTTCATGACCAGCTATGATCTGCTGGAATACGCCCACACACGCCCATCGCTTGCCCTCCCAGTAATCAGGATTGGGGTCCAATCTTTCCAGGACATCGAAAGCCTTGGCCGCATAGTAGAACTGGCCCATCTATTGACAGAGAAGTTGGAAAATAAAAATTCAGAAGAGACTGTGACAATTACAATTTGAGGTCGAGCAAAAAAAATCAGAAGTTTGAATGAAAAGCCTGAATTTTTCAATCATTTCGCCATCATTTTCACAAAACGATGAATTTGTTCAAAATCAATATTTTAAGCAATTTGGGGTTTTTGGCTATCCTAATCTTTTATGATGTTCTCTACATGCATACCAAAGTTCGAGACACAAAAGTGCATCCTTCGTAATTCAAGCTCATTACACAAAGTGGTTAATGTGCAACGAATCAGATTCTTGTTGATTTTACACGTGAGAAAGAATGTTGCAACCTGCCGCCACTTGTTTTCTTCATACATCATCTCAATACAGATCAGTCTTTGCAAAAATGTTTCAAAGACATGAATCTGTGACTGAGAAACATTTCCAATTAGGAAATACTGAATAGAAAATTGTCTTGACTCTCCATAGACTTTGGACACAACCGCCGAAGTGGCGTCTGGATACTACATTCTTCCTACATGTGCGCTATATTGAGATTGATGTCTCCTCTATGATTTGGGTTTTGACAAAGTGACAAATCTGTTTCGTGACATCAGCTGCAGGTCTAGATGGAGTGGCTGGATTCCGATTTGGGACTTCTGCCCAAATCTTCACCAAACATATGATGGACAAAAATAGGGGGTGACTTTTTACCTTGTAACAATCGTTGGCAATAAGCTGTAGCAGGCTGAACGATTCGCCTGACGTCTCCATCTTAGGGTACAACTCTCAAGCTAGTCTGGCCTTACGATTCATGATGTCTGAACAACGAAAAACACAGACAGAATGGTTACAAATACAGTAGGAAACCACCATAAGAAAATGCAATGGGCCCAACAAAAGATGGGGAAAGAATGTTGCAACGTGACGCCACTTTTCTCTTCATATATCATCTCAATAAAGGTCAGTCATTGCAAAAATGATGATAAGACATGAATCTGAGACTGAGAAATATTTCTTATTTTCTTCGGAAATACTTAGAAACTTTTCTTAACTCTCCATAGACCTTGTACACAACCGCTGAAGTGGCATCAGGTTGCGACATGTGTAAATTATTTTTGAGCCGAGGGAATGTTCATCATAGCAAATTTCTGTCGTACAATCTGCTTGAAACGTGATAGAACAAATCCCAAATGGCAAATATTCGATTAGGATGTGATGTTTACATATTTAAACCAAAACAAATTCTAAATCTGTTTAAAAAAATTTCCCAACATTTAAACAAAACCAGAATCCATACAGAGGAAGTGCAGTATCTGGGCCCCATGTCCCTACCTCTAGTGATGTAAAAGCGCCGGTGTAGTCCCTGGAATCCAGGTATTCTTCCAGCTTGGGAAGTTGTTTCTTCTTCTTGCTCTCCTGGGCTGGAGTCGAGGAGCCAGGCCCGGTGGCCGGCTTTTGCCTTGACAGCATCTGTAAGGAAAATTTAAAAATCAAACACACTCTCTATCATATCAATGGACAACAAAATAGAGGAATTCACAACTATTCTAAATTTTAGAATTTTATTTTAGTAAAATTTGAGGAAAGAACATTGCATCCTAACGCCTCTTTTCAGCATTATTTTGAAGGGAAGATACAACATTTGCAAACATCAAGAAACAAAATGATCAAATTATAACAAAATATCTTACTGGACTGTTTGCGAATGACCGTCTAAAGCAAAATGTAAAATTGTGGCTCCTTGTGTGCTGACATTTTCAAGAAAAGTTGCATTTTTCCAATGCTGGTCGGCCGACCATCATTGGAGAAAACTGGCTTTATTTTCAAAAACTGCTCCTAATTTTTCATCTTTAGTCATTCTGTATTAACTTTGCAATTGATTACACATCTGTGAAGGGGTACAAGCCTGCCGAACTGATTCTCTGACCTTACAATTCCCAATGTCTATAAATTGCAACGTCTCATCTTAAGTGGGGTCAGAGAACCAGACTACAAGAATATGATTGGTTTTCTTGGATTTTCCAGCATCTCCGAACTCAAAACGTGAAACAAGCTAGTTTAACAATATTTTCTATAGCACACGAACCCTCCAAATTCATTTATTTTTGAAAATTGCAGCAAAAGCAAATGTTGTATATTCCCTTTAATATGGCCAAAAAAATAAAAACCAAACCCAATCACCTTGGTGACCTATTATTCCTATTTTTTGTTTCATTAAAAAATAACGGATACTGCATGCAGCGATCAGCTGCGGTTTGCATCAAGGTCGTGTGCAGTTCGCTACGTCAAAATACAGACGTTTGACGAAACTGTCGGTCCGACGGTCCAAAGAAAGTATCGTTCCCAAATTTCAAATAGTTACGGATCAACCAGGGCAGCTTTTTGGGGAGATTTTTGTTTGTGAAAGTGGAGTTTTAGATGGAGGCTTTGCATCTATCAAAGCACCAATCCAAATCACATAGCCAGCAGACCTCCAAAAAGTGATAGTGCTAGAAGCACAAGAAGCCCCATACTAAATTTTGCGGTCATCACCCTGCAATTTTTGTACTTTTTATTTTTTGTCTTGCTGCAATGCGCAGTGAACTGTGGTAATTTCTTTTTTTGAGGAAAAAAAACCAAAAACCATCAATTACTACTTTTTACCCTCGACTACACCGTACACGCACACACCGCCATAGGGCCTATATGTGATCGAACACACACACGAAAATTGCCCCAAAAAAACAAATTCTTTACCTACCCTATTTTGACAGCCCCTAGCTGAAATTTTTTTTTGGGGGGGGGCATGAGGAAAAAACCTGAAAACCATCAATTACTACTTTTTACCCCTGATACAAGCACACACCTCCATGTGATCGTGATGGTACACACACAAAAATTCAAAAAAAAAAAAAAATTACCAACCTAGCTACCCTTTTTTTTCAAAATGCCATGAAATATAAGACGCAGAAGTAATTTGTTTATTTTGCCTGAGCAGTTCATTCACATTTAATTAAAAACCTGAATGTTGAACTTTTAGTTTTACCAAACAGACTATTTTTTTTGGCAGTGTATATTTTGCCGGAGACGGCAAACCTTTAGTAAACGTTAGTTTGCCGGATATGCACTGAACATGCGCAGTTACTGTTTATTTGTACTTGAACATTTTCCCGTGACAAATTTTAGTCTGGCTCCATGCAAAAATTATCGTTGTAACCTCGTATTCACAAGATGGGATTCAGACCATTTTATAATTTCGGACTTTATTTCCCTTTTAAAAAAAATCCTCCAGAGCCACAAATCTGAAAAAGAAAATGTAATACTCTGCAAAAAAATGTTTGAGACATGTTAAATTAATAAAAGAAGAATATTCTTATTTATTTGGGGATGAGAAAAAAAGACTTAAAAATGTGCTGCGGTCAGAATCGAACCCGAGTCATCCCACTTACTAGAGCCTTTGCTTAACCACTACACCAAACGTGCTGCACAACTTTTGGTGGGAATTTACTACATCTTATAATTCAGCCCTATCTTAAAGAGTACAGCGCCCTCTGTTGATATGGATTGCCGCCGGCAAACCTTTAGTAAACGTTAGTTTGCCGTCATTACCTCCGGCAAAATATCCACTATCTTTTTTTTTTTAAAGTGACCCATTCTAAAAAACCAAAAAAATCCACGCTCAGTGTAAACATTTCTCCATGGTGTAAACTGCTTAAATTGTACAACTTGAGCGGTTTATAGCTCAAATTTGTAACTCCAGCTGACATGCTCATATTCATTCGCACGTAGCTTGAGTAACTCGAGCTTAACAAGCTCATCAGGAATTTACATGTGAATTCCTGATGAGCTTGTTAACCTGCAGTTACTCGAGCTACACACGACCACCGCACACATCCGATCGGAGCGGCCGGGCATGCACAGCCACATGAACAGATGAATGCACTCAGACTGTCAGCGTCTGTTGCTAAGCAGCCAAAACCTACCATTTTGAGAGCGGTTTCGTCCCAAACCTTGCGCTAATGTTCAGTTTACACGAAATCCATTAAATGCTGCAAGTTAAAAGCACCATAAAAAGAAATAGTAGCTTCGTTTTTCCAAAGAGCAAGGAACAGACCCGCATCTGAGATTTTCACTGCCTAATATGCGGACTATAGCGCCCTCTGTTGACAGACAGTTATTTTTCTCATGTCACAAAAGTTGTCTATCAGAAAAATGGCTTTAAATTTTTGGCCCACAGTCGGCGGATTTATGTTGGGGTTTTAAATGTGGGTGGTGATTTCAAGGGGTAAATAAATTTCTATGGAATTAAATTGCTCATTTTTTTGTGGGCAATATCAAAAGTTGAAATAAATGGCATGCAAGACCATACGTATCCGTTTTTGGTCAGGTACATTTCGGATGCTTTTGCAGTCTTTTCAAATCACAATAACTTTGCAGAAATTGAAATGGCCGTTTTTTCTTTAAAGTACTTAATCCAATTACATTTACATATAAGCAAAATTACAAACTTTTTGCATTACTAACACATTGTCGTAAAAGTTGGTATCTGAAAAATTCCATGCAAAACCCCCTACACCGGGGGTTTGTGTAGAAAATATCCGACGGTAACGGTTATTTATTACTCCCCATCACGTTCAATTAACTTCGGCACCAAACTCGTTTGGGGGCAACAACTCCAGAAATACAAGATGTTTGAAATTGAATTTTCGTCTAGTGATTTGTCATTATGTTTAACATTACGAGATTTAATTTCATAAGAAACCGTCAAACAATGAAGCAATATTGACCGTAACAATACAGTGTTTTAAGCGCGACAAATGCAATCCGAATGAAAATCGATGTGTATTTTTCGCGTGTAACACACTACATTGTTACGATCATATTATTTTTATCGTTGGACTGTTTCTCATGATATTCAATAACCCTCTGTTACACATCGTGGAAATTAATTGCACGAAATTTCAGTTCAATACATCTCGTATTTCTTGAGTTATTGATCGGAAACCGAGTTGTTATTTTTGTTCAATAGTGCAGCATCCGCACCAATATTCTTTCAATAGGGGCGCACCACAGAGTGGTCTCGATAATTATCCACCACCAAACTCGTGTGGGGGGCAACAACTCCAGAAATACAAGATGTTTTAAATTGAATTTTTGTCTAGTGATTTGTCATCATGTTAAACATCATAACGAGATTTAATTTCATAAGAAACCGTCAAACTATGAAGCAATATTGACCGTAATACAGTGTTTTAAGCGCGACAAATGCAATCCGAATGAAAATCAATGTGTAGTTTTCGCGTGTAAAACACTACATTGTTACGATCATATTATTTTTATCGTTGGACTGTTTCTCATGATATTCAATACACCTCTGTTCACAGCGTGGAAATTAATTGCACGAACTTTCAGTTTAATACATCTTGAATTTTTTGAGTTATTGATCGGAAACTGAGTTGTTATTTTTGTTCAATAGTGCAGCATCCGCACCAATATTCTTTCAATAGGGGCGCGCCACATGGTTTCGATAATTATCAACCACCAAACTCGTTTGGGGGACAACAACTCCAGAAATACAAGATGTTTTAAAATTGAATTTTCGTCTAGTGATTTGTCATCATGTTTAACATTACGAGATTTAATTTCATATAAAAAATCAACCATTCAGTCAAGATCTGGGCAAATTAATGATGATAACCGATTTGTTATTTTAAGGAATAATTGCATTAAATTCATTCTTTCATGGTTTCTGTCAATTTTCGGGATTCTTGTGTCAATATCATGGCGAAATATTGGAGGAAATTTCATTTCAATGCAATGCGTTTATCTTGAGTTTCCGTGTTTACAATAACTGTGTTTACATCCCGCATGGACACAGAAGTCGGCGCGCAGTGAGCAGTGTTTGTGTAGCGCGCCCTCTTTTGCAAGAAATTGATGCATGACGGAAAAAATACGGAGTGTCCTTACACTGGAATTTCCTTAAATAATATTACATTAATTCTTTTGCCGTTTCTGTCAGTTTTCGAGATTCTTGTGTCAAATATCATGACAGAATATTGGAGGCAATTTCATTTCAATGCAATGTGTTTATCTCGAGTTCTCGTCGTCACAAAGTGTTTGTTTACATGAAGTTGGCGGTCCGTGTTGTCAGAAGTCGGGGCGCGCGCGCGGCGGCACGACCAGTGTTTATGTAGCGCGCCCTCTTTTTTGTGGGGGTGTATCGGATTAATTGTTTTAAATTTCTCCCTGTGAATATCACATCAATATCCGGAAATCGAGTAGGAATGTGTTCAAAGAACCTTTATGCAACTTCCTTGCGTGATTCAGGCAATTTCATTTTTTTCGACCAAAATTGGGGGAAATGGCAAATTTGGCCACAAATTTACTTTTCTCCAAACAAAGCAGAACTATAATTTTAGTGAAGTTCTATCCGTGCAGCACTTTCAAAATCTAAGATATGAAAGCCCAATTCATAAGCTTTCCTTGAGTTCAAGAATAATTCAAATCGCTCATGTACTTTTCACGTTACGGAATTTTTAACAAAACCACCGTTTTAAAGTTCTGGCCACGGATCACAAAAAGGGTGCACTCTTTCAGCAAAACGAAAACAATTTTCATACATCCCTGTGTAATTTGTTTTCGTTTTGCTGCAGAAAGAACACTTACTTTTTGTGATCCGTGGACAGAACTTTAAGACGGACTGATCGACGTAGATGCAGTAGCTTGGAATCACATAACCGGCTATATTTATTGTGTAAAGAAGCGTGAAAAGAGCGAATAAAGAGGGCGATTAGTGGCTAAATATAGCGAACTTCTCATCAGGTTTCGTAGGGGTATAATCATACTTTTGGCGTGGTCAATGTTAATTCAATTAATAAAAGCCCGACTTTCCTCACTGAACAGCTCATCCTTAACCTTTGAACTTTCGACCCTCAAACCAATACCAAGCTTATATCCTAAAAGGTTTAGACCTGTAATAGACCCACAATTCCCAACGCCGGCCAAATCATAATTTAATTTGTATGCCCTCAAATTCTTTGCTATAGGAGCATTTTGTGTGCCATGAACTTGATGAAGGTTTGTAAAACAAAATAAATGGGTGGAAGCCGTGCACAGAAGTGTGAGCTCGTATTTCTGTGAAATTCCCATGAAATTGGGCCCTAAAATTGCTCTATTTTGCAATGGAGCGCAAGCATCATTGGTTTTCAAAATGGCGATGGGCCACAGGACTACTTTTCGGGGTGATCATCTTTCGATGGAATTCTCTCCCATAAGTCGTTGAATAATTGAACAAAAATTGAACAGTAAATGAAAGATTATCGGAATAAGCATTAATTTGATGGTTGTCTCAAACACCTTGGAGAGTTGTGAGTATTTTTAATAATTTTCGAAAGTACGCGTAATTATCACGGAGGTCTATGGGAGTCGATTTGCAGGTCTGCTCCCTTAACAGGTTTTAATAGTCTGGTCTACAAACCACAATATCACCTGACGTGTCTGTAGATCTTAGGTCAGGGAGCCGTCACGATCAAAAATAACATGACAATTAACAATTACAAAATCGTACACACAAAACCTCGGATGCAAATCCTTTTATACTGCTTTATTAGCGTATTCCTGTGCAATGTATGCATTTTAACAAACTACAAAACCTTTGGATAAAATTAAATTTTGAGAACTGCATAATTATTATACAAGTTTAACGCATTTCATAGCCAATCCAGAGTCAAGGAAAGAAACGCAATTAAAGACATCGAATTTTAACCCCAATGTATAAAAAAACATAAGTAAACACCATTAGTAAATTAAGCATAGTTTCACGAGTCCCACTTAAAACTTTTGTTTTGTCAATTAATTTTTTAATTTGGATAATAGTATTCAATACAATTACGAAGCTTATATCTTATCGAACAAAACGCACTTGGTTTTTCGATAGAAAGAAAAAAAATGAAGCTTTATGCCATAATTATGTACATGTACATATCGTAAACAAAGCGTAATATTAATCAGCAAAAATATCCCATCAAAACGGAATGAATGCTGCTGGTCCTTTACAATACTGTCCTCCAACTTATCACAAATTCAGATAAACCCACATCAGGTTTCACAAAATGTACAATTCAGTCGTTGAAATTCACCCTGTAATGCAATGAGACGTTTCAATCATGGTAGTTTTGAATCAAAATCCGCTTGAATTCTTCATGCGGCAAATTGTTGACTGTTGTGATGTAGGATACGACGTTTTAAACATCCGAGGGGCGCCGGGGGTGTTCGAAACGCCATATTCAACATCACAGCAGTCAAGAATTGTTGATACCTCTGTCTTGGATTCTTTGGATTTTGATATAAAAATTACGTAAACAAACAGCAGTAAACACAAAAATCAAGACAAAAACTCACATGCATGTCGCGTGCTCGAAACAGCTGATCGTCTGCTAGTTCGCTGCTCCCACTCATGTGTGAAAACATGGTGAAAATAGCGTGGGCACCAACGATACAAGCGTTTCACACCGTACGGGTACGTACAAAGTCATGGCACACTCCCTGTGGTGGGATATCACGCACGTGATGGGGAGTGTGCCATGACTTTTTTTTTTATAAACTTAACACGTGATCGTTCTAGGCCAATGAAAATACAGTATTCAAGACAGAGGTATAACAATGCTATTCGACCAAACGGTGTAGATCTCAAAACTGTCGTTATACCATCTAACAAACCCCCAAACAATCGTCTTGAAATCCTCTAATACTACGTTATTTCACCATTGCTGACAGCAATCACTCATCTGAAAGACGTCTAGTGGTTGCGAGTTAGCCCAATCAAAGACATACACTTTGAGGGATTCTATGGTAATACTTAAAGCTTTTAGTATAAAAAAAATGAGTTATCAAATTTAGCTTTTCAAAGCAATAGGCCTACTTACAAACATTTCCAAAACCGTTACGCCTTTCCGGTGCATGAACATAAAACAAAAATTACTTCACACATTATTACAGAAAATAAAGCATAGAATCTTGTTAATTTTAGGTGCACGTGTTCTTACCTCATCAACTTTTGAAGTATTTTAATAACATTAATCAATGCAAAGGTAATTAATTTACTAAGGTGCAACCTTCAGCAATTCGCAAAAACCTACGGATCTGAATTTCTTACACAAAGGAACGCAAAAATATGAAGAGATACAATTTGATGCATAGTTTCCTTGACTTAAGTAAAGATACTGTGGATTATTATTCTAACCAGTTTCGGGAAGACACTATGCCTAATTATCTTCTAATGAATATGCACCACACGTTCATTATGGGCACAATCAGTTAACCGTATACAATACACCCAGGATGGCTATGCATATAGGACAGGTCTACATAATAGACTGTTTCCATAGTGGCCATCTTGAGGTGTGTGATTTTGTTCAACAGGGACGCGCATTATAGAAGACCTCTTGTGCATTAATTGTTGATGAATTACCATAACAAAGCACGCCACCAAGGTGGCTGCTAAATGCAATCCCTCTATAGGCACACCTTAGTTACAAAATGGCGATTGTAACATCACAATTAGACAATGGGTATCCATGCTGGGCATGTACCCTTGATACCAATGGGTATCCAGGGTATGTACCCCGGATACCAGTGTCTAAGTGTGATGTCACAACAATGCCGCCATTTTGTAACTAAGGTTTGCTTATAGACCCACATTTTGGTCCCAGTCATGGAAAAAATAAAATTGAAGCGCATTTATTCACATTTTTATCTTGACATTTCATAACATGAAATATGATTCAAATATACAAAAGAAAGAAACCTTATATGCTGAACATGCAGATACTGTTGCCAGTGGTTGGCCAATGGAATGTGACCTCAAGGCCAGAATAATCACAACACAATACGATTGTGGCCTGCAAAAGCTAGAGAAAAAAAAGACTGGCCCCTTTAATGGCCCATAAACATCTCTATAGCGGCATTACTATTAAAGGGTTCAATGTAGTCATCTGTACACATCTGTGGCCGTAAAAAAAACTAATTAGTCAACTGAAAAAAATCTTTAGAACTCCCATAGAGTGCTCTTTTTCATTTCCGTGCCTGTTGCTCTCATCTCACCGTGTTGTTTGCCCTCCAATAGCTTCCCGTTGGAAGCACGGATCAGGCAATGGGACCTCTTCATGAACTCCAAGGTGAACTTCTCCGGTGAGCCCTCGCTCAACGTGTAGTTGCCTTCGCCGTCCACAGTCCATGCTGTGTTGGGATCGCGGCCTGGATCGAAATACACGGTGGAAATCAAAACTTTGGTATACAGGGTGGTCCAAAAAATCCAAACAACTTTTTGGAATTTTGGGAGACATGTTATTGTTGCAAGATATTCTTAATCTACAGCATCCTCGTGGTATATGAAAGAACCAGTTTGTGACATCGCAATTCTATGAATGAGATATGGTCAACACAATATCACTGCACACACAAAGAACTACAATACATGTAATTGTAATTAGGTCTACATGACTGCCATAGACGCGGTGCATTATGGACAAACTAGTTTTTGACCATTCTTCTGTAACTGGCCGCCATTTCTTAACTTTATTTTCAATGCACGAGTGTATACGACCGGACTCACCTCTAAAGATATAAGTACCGTCGTTCTCGTACGACACCTGAATGACCTCATTGTCCACCGTCGTCCGGTTGCACTCGAAGTTCTTCCGCAGCCCGATGAAGCCGTGCTCCCCCTTCAGCACCAGGTTGGGCCGGTTGCTCAGCTTGAAGCGAAAGGTCTCGGGCTTGCCGATCTCGCTGCCCGAGGCCACCAGCGGCCCGCTGCTCTTGATGCCCACGAACTTGCCGTTAGCCTTGGCGCGCAGGGCGAGAGTGCCGGCCTCAAGCCCGTCATAGACCAGCTCGAAAATGCAGGCCTTATCCCTGGAAGTGAATTGTAAATCAACTTAGTAGGCCTAATAATAAGCTAACGATGATAGGTAAGATTCGGGGTTGAAGTCAGAACTGTTGAAAATTACCTGTTCAAGGACTTCTTTATCTTTAGGATGAACTCAGGTTTATTTTGATGAGGACGAGTTTCAAAAAGGCAATAAATAGGCATGAAAACACAGTCGAGAGGGGCTCCAAAATTAGAGGAATAAAAGTAGGGGCACTGACTTTGATAGTGACTGAAATTTCATCCTTTGTACAAAGAAATCAATACATCTTTTTTTTCTGGCAGGTATGCGCAGTAAAGTGAACGCAACCCACATGGGCCCTAGGCCTATTAGCGACAGATGTGAACCATTTGCACAGAAAACTGTTTTAAAAAATCCGTAAGAGGTTATAAATTGTCGTCATGAAGTATGCTTGTAACTTAGTCATGAATGAACTAGTCATATTTTGCATGGATACTCCCTTCATTTAGGCCAAGATTATTATGATGAATTAGTATTTCCTTTCCACAGAGGGCGCTATTCAAACTGACCGTTACGGTAACTACCACGAATAGCGTTATTAGGGCTCTATGGGTTTCCATCGACAGATTCTCATCAAACCAAGTTGATCATGTAAACTCGTATTGTGAGCCCCGAAGATAGGGGGAATGATAATTCAGACCAAATTTTATGATGTGTTGAGGAGGCTTTCTACAGGTTGCAGATACACCAAGTGAAACTGATTAAAGTCACCTTTCTAATACACACGTTTTAATTCTCAGTTCGTCCGTTGCGAGATTCGGTCAAGTAATAATGGGCTCCATAGATAACGGACACAAAAACGGTCATGTCAACAAACTTCTCCCAGGTTATCCATTTTACTTACTTAGATTTGCCGTTGTTGAGGATGTCTTGTTTGCCAGCCTCCATGGACCAGTAGTTACCGTTGCTGCTACGTACGGCCCACTCATTGGTCTTACCCGGGGCACATTCCAGTTGAAAGGTCTCCGTGTCCGTCTCCTCGTGCTGATTGGCTGAAACGTGGATATCTGTCGATGGGACAAATGCAAGACATTAGAATTACCCAGAACATGAATGTGCTTATAAACAATGTCACGTGCTTTGGTCAGTTATGGTTATATTCTTCCAATGTTTGGACGTGTGTACAAGTATACAGGCCTAGTTAAAGTATTCAGTCGTTAATTAAAAGCACAATTTCCCTCAATTAAACTAATTGTCCAATTGATAACTTGACCACAGTGTCATTTTCAACAATGCAGTTTTTGCAGCGCACAGTCGAACAGTGAATTGAGTACCGGTATATTACAATATTGCTCTTATTAAAGAGGTTGTTTTGGGGGCGTGGCAACATCGTTATTTTTCATCAGTTATTTAATCTTTGAAGCAGTAGAAGTACAAGATAACCCAATTCAGAAACTTTAACCTGCTCGTTTGTAGGCATTAACCAGGCCTACTATGCAAACATACATTCTGTGCAAAGTTGTCCTTTCAGTCAAATTAATCAAGTGACTATGTTTAACGGTTGAGTGCTCCCTTCCTATATAAGTAAAGCAGGACTGACTGGCTGTGACTGTTTATGTCACTTGATACAGCTATGCTTTGACTGTAGGTGATTGATTACACAGCTGTGCCACTGCCAACGTGAGCGCCTGCTTTTGTCTGTTGACTGAATTTGCCTAGTCAGAGAGCTTGCTTGAAATATGATTTCACTGTTGGTGACTAGCCTGTGTAAAAGGCATGGCAGGGGAAGTGCATGGATTTTTTTTTACTGCCTGTGACTGTTCAAACAGAAGGTGAGTTAATGAGGAATTCAATGTATAATTTATATATTTACAATACATTGTGAACAGACACTTAACAAAAATAAGCAGTGGAGTTTGCATGGTAAAATCGCTAATCGCCTTCTGCAGTGTGGATTACATGGAATCTTGTTAACTTTGGCATGGTTTGTAAATTAATTTTAACAAAGGTGTATATGCAAAACCGAAACTTAAGCATGCTGGCTGCAAATTTAACAACTAGGCGATACGAAACTATGTGTATAGGCTAGGCAATGTTTCATTTTCTGCTGTACAGAAGCAATTAATGTAATCGCAAACCCTATTAGTCTCAGCTGTTTGGAAACCCCGCATCGAGCCCACAATGCCCACATTGTCACTTCGTCTGACACCCTATAACTGTCACGTTGTCTTGATGTCACCTTGACGCCATTCTACCCCCAACATCATTACCGGTTTCTTCGCCCCGAATGATTGGCTTTATCGCCCAGGGAAGTTCCCCACAGAAGTGCTGCATATAAAATTTTGACGGTGTTTGCATGTTGCTTTCTCAGAATTTAGTCAGAATAACTAAATATGAAATATTAAGAACATTTTTTGAAAAAAAAGTTTTCTCCAACGCTGGTCGGCCGACCAGCGTTGGAAAAATACAGTTTTTCTCGAAAATGTCAGCTCACCAGGAGCCACGATTTTAAAGGATGCTTTAGACTGTCAGTCCCTACAATTCAGTAAGGTATTTCGTGATAATTTGATATTTCGTTTTTTGATGTTTGCAAATGTTGTTTTTTCCCTTTAACGGCACTTCGGTTACAGGAAGCCTTGGATGTGGACTATTATGTCTCTTGAGGCTTTCTCCATTTCTAATCCCTCCCCCCCCCCCAAAAAAAAGTGGAGGTGTGCGTGAATATGAATTCAGCTGAAGTTCTTAAACAATTCGATCAGGACTCCGTAGACTGTTGAAGGGGCGGGTCAGGCAACTCAATTCTAGGGCATTTTCATGAAGGTGCAACCCTAGTTGCAACTTAGTCAAGAATAGCCATGTACCTTTACTCTAATCAAAACAGAAACAGAAAGACACCATTTTCAGTGATAAAAGTGATCACAGCTTTCTAAACTCGTGAATTAAAATTATTTCTGATGCTTTAAACTGTCGTTCTCATAGTATTGTTCTTATGGAATTCCTATATTATCATGTGTCCGAGCACACTGAGCGTGCAAAAAAAATACACTGAGAAAATATCAATGCACATGCCAATTTCAGGGTCTTGGCTTGAAATCTCCTCTGTCTTGACTCTATAACAGCACGTAACGAGGAACCATTTTAGTTCATTGTCTTGCTAAATAGACTATACGTGGACTAATCAGAGTAATTATTATTCAAACTATTGAAAGAGTTATCACTTAACACCTCACACTTTCAGTCACTCAAATCGGTTTATCAGACTGGAATGCAAAACACAACAGGCAGTGTGCAGTAGACCACAGTAGTTCGGCAGCTGTCGAACCCATTTTCTGGCTAGGACTAGGAGATTTTTTTGACCGAGTCCATCCGGTCGACTTCTGTTGCAAAATGGAGTGGCTGTCAACCACAATGCCCCAAGGAAAAAGATGCCTTTTTGAAACTTGCATAATTTACGCAAATGTCATTAAAACAACCCGATGCGGATAAGGCAAGTTTAGTTAACCATAGTGCAAGGAACAGTGTATGGTTAAACATGCTGGTCTTTTAAACCACTGGTCTTTTCAAACCCTAATCAACTTTGAAGAATGTTAATTCTGTTGGATATCGCAAAGTATTTCCTATGTTGCAATAATTTACATAAAGGATTGTCGCTTCCCCAAGTTTGACCATAGAGCTATACTGTAGGCCTTCGATAATGTAATCGGCAGTCGTGACGTCACGGTTGCAAAGGGCGAGATCCACAATCCAGTTTGTCAACTAAAGATAAGATAAGTCGCAAGTTTACAAAACCTGCTGATACAAAATGCACACAATGAAAAAATGTGGGTACAAGATTTATGAAGTAGCATGCATGTGTATTTGATCTGCGTATCGTGTGTGGTTCTTGAACCGGTGCCATAATGAAATTTGGACTTCTACTAAAGCTTTTACTGTATAGGACTCTCTAACCCTCACACGTGACCTGTTCCCTAACGCATGCGCAATACAAAATGAGTCCGTTTATCATAGAATCCTAATTTCACACTTCACCTGTTTTTAAACGTCTTTCAACAATGTTCTGATGTTCGTCAGAGGCCCTTTTTATAACTATTATCAAATTCGTAAAAGGCCTCGTGTGTACCATCTTCGTGTCGAATGGGTTTGAATGTTTGTAATGAAGCCCAAGTTTTGCCAGACTTTTGTGGTGGCTTGAAAACCAACAACACACATTTTCAATTTCTGCGGGGCAAATTGGTAAACCGAACGTCCGGTGTCCTTGTTGTTATGATTCCCCCGTAATCTGCACCGTCCCACCCCGCCAAAAAACCGGAGGAAGAACAGGTAGAATTCCCGGCCTCCGGAACATTGCCCTGGAATGGGAAGTTCTCATTATACCGCACCCCTGTAGCCCTGGGCCAGAGCCGGATTCTAGATGGGAAACACTGCCAATGTGGTATTATTCCATACAGGAAAAACTGATAAATGATATGAGCACACTGTTATCATGACACTCGTTACAAAAATTTCCTCATTGGCACACATCGTGATGGATATTTACTTTGTCATACTACCCACGGATATAGACATGAATACAAAATTATGCCGTACATCACTGATGCGAAATTTCAATAATGAAGCCGTTGCATCTCGACCGTGACAAATTATGCACAAATATTAAACATTATACTATATTGCTTCCATAATTTTTGCCAAGGCATAAATTCATCATAAAATTAGCATGTGTGTTTACCTAAGTATTTAGTGAAACACAATGATCACTTATAAATATTAATTATTTGAGAAGTCGAAACGATTTTTCCCTGCATGAGTGGTTTTGCCCATAGTTCTCATTGAGCTGGGCAGTGCTATTGTATAGGATTACCCCGTCAGGCCAATGAATGAGCTAGATCCGGCCCATAATTGTGTAGACCACATGCATGAAAAGACTTCCAGTGAATAGCCATTCTGAATCAATGGAATATAATATTCTGGGCTCTGGAACAAGCTTTACTTGGCTTGCTTTATAAGTAGTTCTTCAGGACCACCCTGCCAAATCCAACATAGCCCAACGGTTACTCATATGGGTTTCCTGCTCAATCCAACACAGTCCCACACAACCAAACTTGCCAAGTTGTTGGGTACCTGAACACATAAAAAGACTGGTGTGCTCAATCCAACAGAATCCAACTGATTATTTCTCAGTTGTCCGCTGGATCCAACAGAGTCCAACTTGGCGTAATTTACCATCAGTACCCAACAGAATCCGACTCTGAATGTTTTCAATTACCTGCTGAATCCAACAGATTTCAACAGGAATATATACAAGGGTTTACTGCTCAATCTAACAGGATCCATCGGGTATGTAAAATAGTTGGATCATGTTGGATTGAGCAGGTTTAAGTTTAAAATGCATTGCCGATACAACCAAACTAATTTTACCTCCATGAACCGAGTCAGCGGACAGAAGCTTCTCATTAATTATAACAAAACGAACAATCGTTTCATTTACGTAAATTGGAAGGCCATGGTATGGTGGCCCTGAAGGGACATCGCATATCGCAAACGTGTGCGCACACGTGTGCGATGTCGCAAAATTTATCGCGAATGTGTGCGCACACGTATGCAATGTCGTGAAACAATTCGCGAATATGTGCGCACACGAATGCGATGTCGCGAAATTTATCGCGAATATGTGCGCACACGTATGCGATGTCGTGAAATTTATCGCGAATATGTGCGCACACGTATGCGATGTCGTGAAATTTATCGCAAATATGTGCGCACACGTATGCGATGTCGTGAAATTTATCGCGAATATGTGCGCACACGTATGCGATGTCGTGAAATTTATCGTGAATATATGCGCACACGTATGCGATGTCGTGAAACAATTCGCGAATATGTGCGCACACGTATGCGATTTTGTTTGCAATGTCGTGAATTTTATTGCATACCTTTGTCGCATACCTTTGGGGTGATGTCATTTTTGCGGGCAATTTGTTAGTGACCTAGGGAGTACGCAAGTGGCCCTGGTCCCATTTTGTATACCCAAGATACTTCAAGGCAGGAGCTTGGGTACCAGGCAGTT